ATAGAGGCATCCGCGTGTAGGTTAGCGCTCACCGGCCATAGGCCGCTTGTACTAGTCTCAACCTACCTCTCGGGGAAAAAAAACCTTATTACAAAGCGACCTAGATACGCTACTTAACTTAGGCCCTTCCGTGATAATTGCAGGAGATCTAAACTGCAAACACGGCTCATGGGACATCCACAGCATCCCAAATAACAACGGAAAGCATCACACTCTCCTAGAGGACATCGAGCCATCGCACAACGCCTACTGGCGGTTGGCCCGCAGTCTGAAAGCAGACCCCCGCGAATCTCTACCGCCGTTAATTAGACCTAATAGCGCTTCAGTAGCCCTAGATGACTCCGAAAAAGCCGAATGCCTTTCGGACAACCTAGAGCAGCAATGTACGCCATCGCGCGAACACATCGATACAGCCCACCTAACGGAGGTGGACCGCGTAATCGAGATTACGGCTGCGCTTCCACCGGAAGGCGATCCTTTGAATTCAGTGACCCCCGAAGAGGTTCAAGATATTATTAAAAACTTAAAACCCAAATCCGCCCCGGGCCCAGATAATATTAGTAACAAAATTCTTAAAGCTCTCCCTGGGCCGCTTATCTGTTTACTGGCGACCATTTACAATAATTTACTCTCCAGTTGCTCCTTTCCAGACGACTGGAAAGAAGCCAGGGTTATCGGCATTCGCAAGCCTAATAAACCAGCCAACCAGCCCTCTAGTTATCGTCCCATCAGCCTCCTCAGTTGCCTGGGGAAGCTCTACGAGCGGCTTTTATTAAACAGGCTCAATGAGCACGTGTTTTCCAACGGCCTTCTGCCGGCGGAACAATTCGGCTTTCGAGCTAGACATTCCTGTCCCGATCAACTATTCCGCCTAACGGAACATATCCTAAAAGGCCTAAATCACCCTAAACATATTAGTACAGGGGCTTTTTTCTTCGATGTCGCAAAAGCATTCGACTAGGTCTGGCACAACGGCTTGCTTTACAAGCTGTACACACTCAAAGTGCCAGATAGGCTTCGTACACACCATTCAGGCCTTCCTGTCGAACCGCTCTTTTCGATATCGAGTTGAAAGCACCCTCTCCACAAGCCGCCGCCTCACGGCCGGCGTACCACAAGGCTCCTGCCTCTCACCTTTGCTCTTTACGCTCTACACGAGCGATATACCTAAAGACCCCCACGTCAATCTCGCGCTTTTCGCGGATGACACGGCGCTCTTTTATTCAGACCGCAACCTTAGACAACTAACCGCTCGACTCCAAAGCGCTGCCGACCGCCTCGGCGATTGGTTCCGCAAATGGAGAATAGAAATAAATCCCGAAAAGAGTGTGGCGATTCACTTCACACGAAGTACTTACCCGTCACATCTTTATAATGGCCCTCGTCAATGCAGAAAGTTGGGGCAAATATCCCTTTATGGCCACCGCTCCCCTGGGAGAAAAAGGTCAAATACTTAGGAGTCACTTTCGACTCGCGTATGTCATTTACTACGCACATTAATAACGTTCGCAATAGAGCCGCGTTCGTCAAAAATGCGTTCGAGTAAAATGCCCTTAAGGCACAAATTATTATTATATAAGACCTGCGTACGACCTATTATGTCTTACGCATGCATGACCTTCGCCCACACGCACCCTACTCGCTTGTACAAGTTGCAAATAGTACAAAATAAGTTCATCCGCCGCGCAACCGGTGCGCAGTGGTATCAACGTAACGTCGACCTGCACAGCGATTGCAGACTCCCGACGATTCGCGAATATTTTAAAGACCTGACCAAACGGTTCTTCGATAGAGCCGAACATCATCCCAACCCTCTGGTGGTAAGCGCAGCAAATTACCAACCCGACCAAAACGCGAACGTCAACAAGCGTCGCCCGCGAAACGTCCTAATCGACCCGGTCGAGGAAGGGGACTTAGACACGCCGGACCCACTGCCGGGGGTCCCGCCGGACAACACTACACCCATAGTTAGTGCAACAACAAACACACTAGTTCGCCCTCGCCTCCGAGCACGGCGAGACCAACACAACGCGTACACAAGGTACACCCGCGTTCCGGGGCGGTTCTCACCGCCCCCAGCCACCGATTAGCTAATTGCACAGTCGACGGCCATCGGGGTTTCGGTCCGAACCACGACCTCGATGGCCCTTAGATGACATACCAAAGTTAAACGCACGCATGAGCACATGCGTGGCCCTACCCACAGCGGAGGGCCCAAACCCGTGGGTTCTGGCTAGCCCACCGGTTCTGCGTCAGATGAAGCTTTAATAGTCTCGGACTGAAAGCAAAAACATCAGTTAATACAAGATACAAGATACATTAACAGGGAAAACCTGCCAGGTACGTGGCGGAACCTAGTATATGTTTGCCGCACTCTGCGGTGAGTCCGGTGTGATCTGTTGTGTTTGCGTAATTGTTTTATCCTGTTGATGGCAGTAGTCGTCTCATCGTCAGGGAAATCGAGGGCGTGTCGTGGTCTGCGCCATTATGACGGAACGAACCTAGCGGTGGGGGTCTGTAGGTGACGGCACCTACGACTAACGGATTGGAAACACTATGTTCATCGCACAAAATTTTCCAGTAGTGGGGATTGAACCCACAACCTCCGGCGCAGGAGGCAGGTACACTACCCACTACGCCATTCGGCTCGTCAATAGTTCATGCAAGTGAAAAAAATAATGCGTAAGCGAATACAAGTCTTCGTGTCGCTAAGTAATTTTCTTAATATGGTGTTACGCAAGGCTGCCAGACTTTTAAATAAGCTTGTATACTCACAGCGGCTGACATTTTAAGTTGATAATTATAAAAATTACATAAAATTTAAATATACATACTTTATTTATAATAAGTTCATAATTAATTATTAGAATTAATTATTACAAAATTATTACATCTATGTCAAAAATAGAAACGAATGTTGATAATAATTTTAAGTTTTTAACTGTTTACTGGGTAAATGTTCATAATGTTACTGATTTTTTACTTTAAGCAATCGGTAAATGAAGATAAATTAATTTGTCATTTTTTACTACTACTTTTTATTTGGACTTATACTAACGACGCATTGGCACGAACAAGCAATCTTAACCAGTCGAAATAGGTTAAAATTTTGATGTGCCTTTTCCACGAACATTAAGTATATTCAAAAGAGTTTTCATAAATATAATTCGTACGGCCTGCTTTTCTCATGAGCATGTGTACCTCTAAACACTCTCCCTAATATCACTCTAAATATTATAATTTTTTGAAGTAGGTGTTTTATTTGGTATGAATTTTATAGAACACATATAGAGTGCATCGAGTATTCATAAAGCCAATTGAGTATTTATGCATACGTAATATCATTGAATACCTATAGTAAGTAGGATTAAGTAAGTAATAAGTACCTAAGTGAATAAGTCAGTATAGATTTAAGATTGTTAACACGATATCTCTTTTACTGTATTCCCCAATTTTTTGGTCATTACTGAAAATCAGCAGTGCAGTTTCACAACATTCAACTGAGTGATGTCCTATTTGGCATAAACCGCGACGTACTGTAATGAATAGGGAAAATATAGGAACATATTGGAGTTTTATGCTCATGTTTTTTTTAATTGTCTAATTTTTATTGTTTTAAATGATTGTTGTGTGCGTCAGTCTGTTTTATGTCAAATAAATTTCTTCCTTTTAAACCACCCGTTAAACTCATGGACAGTCCGGTTCCATCGGTAAATAAAGTCAAATTCTTAGGTGTCGTCCTTAACTCTAAGCTCAAATACAGTCACCACGTGACTCGGGTCAGGAACGGGCGGCATTCGTATTCGGTCGCCTATATTCCCTATTAAATAAAAAATCTACAATGTCCTTTCAGAACAAGGTGACTTTATATAAGGCAGTAGTTCGCCATATTATGACTTACGCGAGTCCGATTTTCGAGCAGATTGCTCCTAAACAAATACACCGGCTTCAGGTCACCCAGGATCGATTTTTGCGCAGAGCTACTAATAGTAAAATCTGAATTGCACCCGGGCGAAGCTGGGGCGCAATCCACTTTTACAATCAAGTCGCAAGTTTCTGCAAAACTCGTGTCAATTTTAATTAGAAGTAGCGAGGACAATGATATGTAGGTCATTTCTACAATTATAGTTGTTTAGTTCTCAGGAATTGACGAGCACATATAACTACGGTTTTACTGTATGACTCATGACTCTAATGATTCTTCATAATCCTAATATCAGAATTAATATTACAATTGTATTAGTTATTGATTTAGTAAAATATGATATAAATCGCGTCAAGTTATTTCGATCTGTTTTCCATTTATTTTCACCTTAGTTCTGTTAATTCTTATGAAGTACGTTATTTTCATTTATTTTTATTCTTTTTGTCTATTAATTTTATATATTTTGAGTATAACAATAAACATTATATGTATTCAAAATTACATGTAAATAAAGACATCATAACTTATTATAAATACCTATATTTAAAATTATGTAGATATGTGCTGGATTTTAAAAGCATTTTCATTGTAACTTTTATTTATCACATTTTTGTATTTTATGTTCTTAAGATGTATATTTCTCAAAGGAAATAAATAAAAATAAAAACTAAAATGTCTTCAATATCTATCTATTGCTTTGATGATTAATCGATACATACATACGTCGAGGAGCTACTCAATGTATTGTTTCACATTATAATGGGGTCGTAATTAATTATTTATTTTATAAAATAATTTTATATACCTATTTATTAAATGAAACTACGTTTACGGATTTTATTCAAGAAGTCTACATTTTATATATTATTTAAAAAAATTATATAATTGATTTTGGAATTAGAAAAACAGAATTAATCCGAGAATTGTATTTGCGTTTAGTCATTATTTTCTTAAATCACCCATGATCATGTAATTTTTTTTGGATTTTTACGTAAAAGTTCTAAAGAGGCCTCTTGAATATTTATCTTTACAATTTTAGTTCAAAAATTCGCTCCTACAAAATGATAAATGATTTATGGCAAGACAGCGTGCTCCGTACCGGCTGACGGATGTTGCCAACGTACCGGTTATGTGTGGTAACTATGCATACTTGTGAAGTATGTACTGGTTTGCCGTTTATGAGCACGTATGACGATCATTATAATTTTAATGGTAGCAATACCAAAGTTTTGTCAACAATATGAATTATATTTTGAAGGACCTTCAAATATAATAATTAATATAAAACAGCTATGTTATACTTTATTTATCCCGTGTATTAAATTAGTATTGTTAGGTCTTATTATACTAGACACAGTTTTTTATGCAACAATCATGTCCAGAAATATTCACAAATTTGAAATATTTATATATTATACCAAAATTACCGAAGGAAAATGTCTTCGTCCATTTTGCCCTGTAGTGGACAGAGAAACTATGCAACCAACAGCTGCGCAAGACAACATTGTGTGGGTTGCGAATTGCGATCCAAGCTACAAGACAAATATTATTTTTGAAGTTCTATAAAAAAATGAGAAAAAATATGAGAGTAAATTTTTTACGATGCGCGCGTACACCGTCAGCCAAAAAGGCAACTAGATGAAGTTGGTTGCAAAGCGTCCATCTTCGACAACTTCACGGTTTTCCGTGGTAACCAATATATTTTTTTTGACATTTACCTATAATTCCAAATAGTTTTATTAAACGGTTATCAATTGCATTTACTGTCTTTTTCACACATAAAGAGTACTTGCGCAGGGGATAATTTTATTTTGCTAAGCTAAAGAAGCATAACTTCTTACGTGCATAACAACACACATATTTTTTGTCTATAATAGTATATTATGTATTCAAAAATAAATCAAAAGTTCCCTAAAGTAGTAGTAGTTGAGACTAGATTATATTATTGTGTAAAAATTTTTTTCATTTGCTTATTTATTATTATTTCACATTCTTAGTGATCTTTTAAATTATCAGTAGAAAGTAAAGTAATTTCGTTAATCTGTAAATTTTATATTTTAATCTTTTGAATATTGGGTGATTGAATATCTTCAAATAGTTTGTTGATGATTTTGTTTTTTCCAGCTCTTCAGCCGTATGCTTGGCTACTTTGGACGAGTGGTCTGGTACTTCTGATTTTGATATGGACATTGTACGCGGTCACTCTCAAATCAGCACTCCGGAATTGGCGCGAATCGAGGACAAATGTAGTCACCGTGTTGTCAGTATACCCTGTAAGTATATATTATGGTTTAAATCAATATATCGTTTACCAATGTACTTTTTAATTATTTTGTAAATTAACGTGAAACGTTTACAAGATGGTAAATTATTTTTTTGAAGTTGTTGTACCTTATTACCTTTGAAAATAACATTTCCGACACAGTATGCATTAACAATAATCTCTCTCCAAATCAAAAATCTCAAAAAAGAAAATCAAATGAAGGATATACCGCGCCTCGTAAACTTGTGTCGACTGTTGCTTTATTCAGAAAATTGCTACCCTATACAAGACTATTTAAATATTTGTACTACTTTGAAATACTATGGAACCGTTGGTATGATATTTCTTTTCTTGCTGCTAATTGAAATGATCAAGACAATGACAATTTATTTGTGGTGTTTTATTAACAAGATTGTTGCTTACCATTAGTATATTCCATACGCCTGCTGACGTAATTGATTTAAATGGAGCTTAGTTACAGTGATCTTTATGTTGAGATATAAGAAAATAGAAACATAGATATTGTGATTTGAACTAGCAATTTTGTAAAGAGGAAAAAAATTCAAAATTTAATTGACTATTAAAAATAATAATATTTTCAAATATGTCTAGGTCTTTGCATCAAAGGTCCTGATTTCCGTACAGCAGAATAACACACATATAAGATTTATATCAAAATATTAATAGTAAAAATAACAGTTTCTTGTTCTGTGGGCAACAAAAGTAAACTGATTAGAAATAATGTTCTTTACGTAATGCAATGGTCATTAATGGGCAAGACGTGGTGAAGAAAAAAAAATATAGACTCCAACTGAATCACTGAATGTTAAGAGCATTCTGTAGATTCCATTGTGTTATTGCGGAAAAATTACTCGCACATTGTAAAAGCCTATACGTAATACTTCCGTAATTGATATGAATAAGTCATAAACATATTTATATGTAATATTATTATTTTTCAAATTTATTCCAAAAATAGAATAAACAGATCATTTTAATAGCTTCACTTGTATATGCAACCAAGATAGTTGACAAGGCCATGCAGCAGTTCCTACTGTTGCACGAATGGGCAGGCTCATCCGGGGAATTCCCGCAGTCTCATAAAAGTGATAAAAAAAGTATTATTATACGGCTTGAAGTGGAAGTATTATACTTTGCGTTTCATCTTGATTATTTAGAAAACAGTCTTATAGTTATTGATTTTATGTTTTTTATATACTCATTTACTAAGGCATATTGCGGTAAATTGCGAGGTTGAGCCTCCATATGCCTGTAATCAGTTTTCTTTTAATGTCAATACATCCAATTACGTAGCCGTTCTTCGTATAGAACATGTCACTTCAAAGATTTCTGTTAAGTGAACCAGAGCCCACACTTTTAAAGATTGGCACCACAACCACAAACTCGCTGGTGTTTTACGCATGCCCAGAGGCGGCAGCAAGTGCAGGTATACATCTCGCTTGCTAAATATATTTTTAAAGTAGCTGTGCCCGCGACTTCGTCCGCGTGGAATTTAAAATAAAAAAAATATAAAATATAAAAGTAGCCTAAGTTACTCCTTATTACATCAGCTATCTGCCAGTGAAAGTCCCGTCTAAATCGGTCAAGCCGTTTCAGAGATTAGCCGGAACAAACAGACACACAGAGAGACAAAAATAAAAAAAATGTTATTTTGGTACATGTACCGTGTAGGAACATCCATATGCATTTCCATCCGTGTAGGTACATCCATTTAGTAAATAGCGGTTATTTTAATATTACAAACAGACAATCCAATTTTATTTATCTGTATAGATGAAAGTGAAATAAATGCGACCGACGCGTCTTAAATATCATTTATTCTGACGTTAATTTCGCTTAAATTCGCCCATGTCAAGTTCTTTATTAGAGCGAAGCTGCTACCTGAATACGCTACAGGGCCGCGAGCGACCCATAAAAAAAATTCTAAACTAAAAGTCCCTCCCCTCAGTTATTACATCAGCATCGTATTACATCAGCTATATAGCAGTGAAAGTCCCGTCCAAATCGGTCGAGCCGTTTCAGAGATTAGCCGGAACAAACAGACAGACAGACAAAAATTGTAAAAAATGTTTATTTAGTAAAAAGCGGTTATTTTAATATTACAAAAACAGATACTCCAATTTTATTTATCTGTATAGATAAGAGAACATTACTTCATAACCTCTCCCTTGTTTGGCCAATGAAATAATAAATCACAATGATTAAAAAGAAAATAGAAAATATCGGGAATTCTTTGTTCGTTGCTTTTCTCTCACGATTATGTTTTTAAATGAAAGAATAATGCTTCATAACCTCTCCCTTATTTGGACAATGAAATAATAAATCACAACGTTAAAAAGAAATCAGCAAATATCGGGATTTCTTTGTTCGTTGCTTTTTTCTCACGATTATTAAATCTCTGAATAGTAAAACCCAATGTACACAATTAGTTTGTACTTGACCACAATATCGACACGATAGTAAAAACTAAGATACCTCATTATTTACATAATTAAGCCATAGTTAAACATCATCAGTTTTCTTAAAAGTTTATTTATACTGAATACTACGTAAACAAAATCTGTTTTTTGTCGTAATTAAGGCCCAATTTCACCTTTCTTTTAATCAGTCATTACCTAATCATACAATACAACACTATTTGATTATAATATTCTATAGCTGCAACATAACAAATGGAACAAATATTAATGGAATGATTAAAAAAATATTCGCAGAAATGATTAAACGGCCAGAGTCATTCATTATGAAAGTGAACACTCTTTCAACTCGTTAGTATCATATGAGTTACTTAATTAATTCTCCAAAACTGACAATATTGTTCATGTACTTTTCATTTTCCAATTGGTTTTAACTGTCACCTACGTTTTAAAAAAAATCATACTCGTATTTTTATCTCTTGTCATCTTGATGGAAAGATTGAGAATTTAAAGAACCTGTAAAGATGTGTCCGTGTTATTGTTCAAATTTTGTCATTGATTTCGATAATTGATGAACCATCATTATTACATTTTAGGGAATTGTTGATCATCAACAATTCCCTAAAATGTTTTGTTAAATGTACTAAACGATTGTCCTAGATTTTATTTATAAATTCGTCTTGTGGTTGTCGCTGATTGTATAAAATGAAAATTATTTGCATGAATTGCGGCAAATTGTAAGCTCGAGCCACCAGCTGCCTGTAATCAGTTTTCTTTTTATGTCAATCCATCCAATTGCGTAGCCATTCTTCCTATAAAATATGTCACGTCAAAGATTTCTTAGGTAATGTTACATATCATTTTGGCCAATTAATATGTTTTTATTACCATCTCGTGATTTATTGTTAACTTTAACACGGAAGTTTTATAACTTTGTTGCTTTTTAAGTTTTTTTTGTTTTAACAGAAAATGAATGAGGGAATATACTTTATTGCACATTAAGAGAGATAAAACGAAAACAATAACAAAACTTGTTAGTAATTAAAGACTATAGTACAATGCATTGGTACATCTTGGTGTTTGTCCGCGTGTAATTTATGTTTGTAAAACGTCTTTACCGCATTGGATAATGTTATCCTAAAGTAGCAGTGCAATGTTTTTTTTTTTTAAAAAAAAGAAACAAAAACATGTTCATGTCCCAGTATTAGGTAGATTTGGCGAATCCACAAGCTTTTTCTTATATTATTTCTTAGATACAAATAGCTTTCTTCCCCGGCTTCGCATGGTAACAGCCAATTAAAGTACGTCAAATTTTCCGTATACATACTACCGAATTTAAATACTGAATGTTCGTAGGAATATCATCAATATATATTTAGCAGTTTAGTTGTGTTGCTTGATTGTATAATGATCGGTTTTATGGCAGCCGTCCAATGTGGTATTGAATTTTTTGAGACAATAAAATTTTGACCTTCGTAATACACTATAAAACGTTATTATACACCATAATAGATATATGTTTATATATCTATTGAAACGAAATAGGCTAACTATAGTTTTTCAGCTGTCTTATAGATAAACTGACCATACGTCCCGTTTTGAACGGGACTGTCCCTTTTCTCGGACAGCTGTCCCGTTGTCCCCGAACAATTCTTCGGGACGCAAAATTGTCCCGTTTTCCGAAACCGCGCGAAATTTTAAACCCACGCTCGTCAGACATGATCATGAGCAGCACTGAAACGCGATCGGTAATTCCCGGTAACGGGGTGAGGAGGAGAGGGAAAGAGGCATTTGTTTCTTACAATAGACTTGCCACGCGAATGTATTCAGACTTCTTTATGTTTTTGTGTAATGTTCGTTAAATAGTTTTGTAGATAATTTGAACATTAAAACATGTAGAAAAAGTACGAAAAGATTGTCGCCGCTTGGGAATCGAACCCACGTCTTCGGCATTCGCGGCCCGACGCTCTAGCCACTGAGCTAAACGGCTGACAGCCACAGTGACGAAAATCTTAACGCCTTCTTTCTACATTGTTATTTAGCATTTGAAGCAATGATTTTGATCTCTGCACTTAAGATTAGCACTATAAAAACTGCGTGCCAAGACAAAAAAATATAAACCATACCAACCGAAATTTTAATTCGTTATTATATGAATAAGTATTTTTGTCAAACGTTGCAAATACATATGTTTCTTCCTTTAGGTGAAATTCACTAAAATAAATTAAATACTTAATTTAATTTAAATTTGAAATTAACGCATTTCGAGAATATTTAAATATCGTTACCGTTGGTGCAGAGGATATTTCTTCTAGAAGTATTCTCTCTGCTATTAATTTTTCGCATAGTTATCCCAACTACGGTGGCGGCAGAAATGCACTAAAAAGTATGAAGGTCGTGACCAGTCTAGTTGAGCGACATTTACCTAAGTAGTATTTAAGAAAACTTTTGTGTAATTAGTATCACTTGTCCGACATTTGCGAGTCATCGCTGCCTTTTAATTGTAGTTTTGTGATTAGATGAAATTACGTAAAAATAACATTTTTAGCAACAAAAAAAATCCCAAACTGACATCAAATATCTCAATCAGCATATTTACGACCCAAATGGCAAAGGGTGTGGGTACGATCACCACTACTGGAAAACTATTGTGTGATGAATATAAGGTTTTCCAGTGCTTTGGAGTTTATATAAGTGTAATATGTAGGTATTCATTTACTAAATAAAAGTTTCTTTAAATATGTTTATCTAGTACCCATAGTACTCTAGTACCCACAAGCGTTGTTTAGTTTGGGACTAGAAAACTTTTATTTATTTATTTATATATTTATTGTACACAAAACACAGGATACAAAAAAAATTATAAAAAGAAAATAATGTACAAAAGGTAAGCTTAACTCAATATGTGAGTTCTCTGCCAGCTAACCTGGTGAGATAATAGGTGATTGAAGGTAGCTGGAAATGTGTTCAGTGCACCCAGATATTCCTATAATATACCCTACATAATCATATATATTAATATATATATATATATACATAAATATATCTATAAGTAAATATACATATACGTAACATAAATATAATATATAGTAAATAATGATAGAAGAGCCGTGATAGCTCAGTGTCCGGGCGCTCGCCTTTAATTCAATATACTCGAGCAACCTGAGTTCGAGCCCCGGTGCCGGCACCAATGAAGTTTTTAACTTTAAGTGCTGACTTATCACGTGCTCCGCGGTGAAGGAAAACATCGTGAGGAAACCTGCATATTTTAGAAATAATAACAAAAAAAAATATATTTCGAAAATATGTGAAGTCCGCCAATCCGCAGTGGGGCCGCGTGGTGGACTATGCCCTGATACCCTCTGTATAGAGGCGGCCTTTGCCCAGCAGTGGGACATGTATAGGCTGTTACTTTACTTTTTTTTAATGATAGAAGATAATAACAAGAAATATATAGACACGAAGAAAAATACGTCATGCGGATAAATAGAATTCCTTAGCTCTATTCTTGAAGACATCCGATGAGGGACTGGCACGGACATTGTAAGGTAACAAATTCCAAAGACGCACCGCGTGCACTGTAAAAGAGCCGAAACGTTGTGTAAAAAGTGTTATAAATATTTATTTATTACTAGTTTTCCGCCCGCGGCTTCGCTCGCGTTGAAGCCCTTAAATAAATATCTTTTTTTAACCTTTCAAACCTTTACAACACTTTTTTCCAATTAAAAATTTGACTATGTCCTTTCTCGGGCTCTAGACTATCTGTGTACCAAATTTCATACAAATCGGTTCAGTAGTTTTGGCGTGAAAGCGAGACAGACAGACAGAGTTACTTTCGAATTTATAATATTAGTATGGATATGTTGTACGTTGAAGAGTTGCCTGATGTATATCCGCAGTCCAGGGTCTTATGCCAACAAAGTAAATATGGGAACACATTGGAGCCCATACACATAAAGAAAAAAATATTGGATGATGGAGTTCTTAGGTAACAAAAAAAATATTCAACCGAATCAGAAACTTTTATAAATCAGTTTCTAGTATCATGATCTTCGTGTGCAATGGTAAAACATTTACCCAAGTTTGTAACAGCGGAACGCATCGCAGTCATATAGCACAACCATTTGAACATGAATAATATTAACGTCTGTTGATTGCCGAAAATGCTCATGGTACTGAACGGTATTTTGAGTTGAAACTTCATTGGATTTTTTAGGAACTTTCAAGGACAATAAATGTAACTGTATCGTTACTGTAGATCGACCGAAATCTGGTATTTCATATTATGATCCGTCATCATTATCATCTTTCAGCCTGTTTGAATCCACTGATGAAAATAGGCCTCCCCCACAGACTGCCACGAAGTACGATCGTGAGCCACCTGCATCCATCAACTGGCCGTCACTCTATCTAGAGGATCATCTTATCTGCAGTAGAACAAAAGTAAACCACATAGCTCAGAAGATTAGCAAGCTGAAGTGGCGATGGGCTGGCCACATAGCTCGCGGAACCGATAACCGATAGGGAAGAAAGGTTCTTGAGTGGCAGCGTCGTAGTGGACGATCCCCTATTAGATATGATCCATAATCGATATAAACTGGACGACATATCATAATTAAACCGCGCGAAGAACTGTAAGGTTTATATTATTACTACTCCGAAACTCGAACATTGTACCACATTTGTCTTCATTTATATCTAAAATAATCTCAATTATTCTCGTAATATCTCATATCATAATCATAATATATCATCACATCTCTAAATATTCTCAATCATTTATATCTAAAATAATCAACTCGGCGTCAGTCGTCAGAAAGGAAGCCTGTTTTTGCAACAAAATACATCAGTACACACGGCGCGCATTACGACACTGTTAGAAACGGGCTTCGATGCAGACAACCATAGACGTTACGGTCTAGACCAGGCCTCCAGCGACTGCTTAGCTGTTAAAACAATTATATAAGTTTTATTAACAAAATAACTAAACCGTCTTGAAATATCTCATTCTCTATACATTTTCTTTTTGCTTTTAATGAGTTCCCTGAAGTATCTAAACCGAAAAAAATACAAAAATATTTTTTTTAAATGACTTTATAAATTTCGAAGTTCTGACATAACAACAATAAAAAAATGTAATCGAATTCCACCTTTAAATCATTTCAGGGCAAAGATGCAGCATATAATTATACACACGGCTGTGACAAGTGCCATGATATAGAGGGGGGTGAGATTAAAAAGAACATAGCTTTCTACTTTTATTTTTATACCATATGACAGGAGCTTTTCAATCATACTTCGTACATATTTGAACTTTTGGAGTGTGCAAAGTGCGAACACCTGCGACGCATTTGAAGCCGCAAGATTTTATAATGCCAAGAGTTAAGATAACTTCAAAATTTTATCGGGCTGTAACCTTCATGGAAAAAATGAATAAAAGATTATTGGAATATATATCCACAGATTACCCATCTTTATTTTCCTTCATTTTAATACTTGTGTTATAAGTCTCGAGGACCATGTTAAGTTTCATGGATAAAAATAAGAAAATACAGTTTTCACGGGCTAGCTGGCCTGAGCGTCAACTACAACGGTTATAGGGCTATTAGATTACCGTCATATTAGAAAATATACTAGAGATAAAAATCAACAACTACGTAATTGCAGTCTCGATTATTTATTAATGTTTATTAAATAGTTTGAAAGTAATTTTAAGTTTTTGTATATCTTTATCGCAATTCGGCATGTGTTTTAGTGTAAGATTTAATTAAGTTTTGATTTATCATATACATATTTGAGTAGATATATATATAGATTTTAAAATAAATAAATATTTTAAGGAAAAACTATTGAGGGTAATCAGAATACAGATACCTCAACTATTATAGTCAAATTCATTTTTGGAAAAAATGAAGAAAATCATAAAAATATTGTGGTAATCCTAATTAGTTATTCTAGCGCTCACAGAGTTATTTATATTTAGACCATTCTGTATTATGATTCCAAAGGGTGGTGACTTGGTGAACTGTGCCTTTTTTTTTGCCGGGTTTTTCAATACCTACTGCAGGCACGTTAAATTTAAATATTTTAGTTGTGGTATTAAATAAATAATTTATTTTTTTATTTTATTTATTCTTTTCCTCTTTTACGATAAAGATACACCCAAATAGAGAAATCTATGGATTTCAAAAATCTTATGTATGTAGTGATATCATTGTTGTTAAAGATTCGTTTATCATTTCAGCTGGTGGCAACTGCTTCATACGTGGCTATTGTGGTGCCTCGGGCGACGGTCGTGGCCGAGGCAGTAGCGCAGGAGGTTGTGATGGTAGCCATGTACCAATTCTACTGCCTCATTATTGCCGAGTGCGGCGGGGTCAGCCAATTTATCAGGTGCACCATCCGTTACATGAATATTATTGTTATAATAAAAGTCTATAGTCTGACTTATGCGATTTATCCGAATGGGCGTCTTTCGTATTTTTCCACAGACTTAAAAAAAGAAGAGGTTATCAATACGATTCTGTTTTTTGTTAAGTACCTTAGACCTCCATAGCTTAATAAGCCGATTTTAAGAATTTTTTTTCATTGGGTTCATTTTAGCTCCCATACGGTCCTATATTAGAGATCATTGTCATTAGACCTTGAATACGGAGATATGTGATGTCGGTTTTGTTTTTTGTTACTAAAAATACATGACGTGTGTAAATTATTGTTGATACTTTTATTCGTTGTATTTTAAATTAACAATTATTTTAATGTTTATACAGCGTGTCGTTACCATCGCGACAATAAATGAACACACGTCTAACACTACTTGCCAATAATCACAAAAAAATAGTAACGTTAAACAAAATCCATAATTAAAAAAATATATTTTTCAAACAAACTAATTAAGTAAAAAAGAAACAAAATTTTAACATCCTATACAACTCGCGCCACAGCGTCGCATTACAAGCCTCTCCTTCTAACAGTATGTTTTGTCTCTTTTAAATTCATTCAACCCATTCACATGCTTTGTGACCTTTACAAATGAACTTTACGTTACAGTTTTATACGTAAGGGTGTTCTAAAATTGTTTGTTTTGGAAAATTTAATAACTCTGTAAATATTGATGGTTGAAGAATGTAAATGTTTAATACAATTTTAAAAATTTATCCTCTATATGTGTGTTCATTTATTGTCGCGTTGGTAACGACACGCTGTATATAGGTTATTTTAAATATTGATCTTTGTAAGTGATTATTTTTTTTAAATTACAGGCGTGCGGGTGATTCTCGACTAGAAACACGAGTGATGCCATGTTGTTGTTGGCCTTGCTGCTTTATACCAAGACCACAGATTAATAAGTACAACACAGTTTATGACCTCTTTGTTTATTATTGATTTATCTATATGCATTGCTTTTGATTAAAACTTCGCCGTCTGCGCGGTATTATCGTAAAAGACTAATGAATGCTATACTATCGGGGTTTCCGGACAAATCCGACACCGGTTTCAAAATTTTATCTATAGATAGGTTTGATTACTGGAGATAGACTTTTGATGGAAGTATCATGAAGCTAATGTCAAATGCATATCGCTAATAACCAAATCTATCTGTAGATAGAAAATAGAAACCGACCATTAGAGGCCTTTAATAAGAGAGTCCGTTTCTACCTCAAAAACAACGCGTTTATGGCACGTCTGGTGTTGCAAGAGTCCATGGGCGGCGGTGAACACATACCATCGGTGGCCCACCTGTTCGCACCATAATACGTTATAGCAAAATATCGATAAAATAATCCTGTTTGAGTGTAATTCAATATAAAATTTAGTATAATTATTTACATTTTTCGATTTTTCCCAGTCTTTTTAACGAACCGTATAGGTAATTCACAGATACCAATAACAAATTTATTTTTGACAATTAAAATTAGGCGTAAGACTATTTCCACACATAGGAAACTGAGTTTGATAGATATTCGAATGCCATGATGAACATATTATGATCAGGTAATTATTTATCAACAACATCGGATTTGGCTACAGTTGTGTAATCGTTAATTAATTAAATTATTAATAATTACGTACAATCAGTAATTCTATTTATAATTAATTCTTTATCTTAACTTTTTGTCTTTAAAAAACATCGTTTCTTCAACGCTGCAAGATAATCTTAGATATCGCATAGTAGGAGCAATGTTTAAAAAAGTAGTAACGAAATTAAAATGGCTGCTATTTATGGCATTGGTAAGCACTTTCAATAATTGAAAGAAAAACAGATTTTTAGCATTTATTAAAATACATTAGATTAACTAAAAACAATTGCAGAAATAGTTCGATTTCCATTAAATAAAATAGAAAACAGGCACTGTTTTTTTTTTCTCTTTGACTTTTTTTCTACATATTTTAACAGTCACTGTTTGTTTTGTATTTTCAGCTGTTTTGATAGAGTTGTAAGGTTTCATCAATAATGTTTAATTACTACCCGATAGAGTTGGATGCGACTTACACGAATGGCTTGAGCAATTTGTCCTCGCGGTTTGCGTTTGTGTAAACATTAATCAGTTTAAACTATTTCCGATATTTGGGCACTACTGGTGGTAATCTACGTGTTTTATTTCACTATGTTTATATTCCACGTCATGAATTCTATTGGGCTGCCAGTAGTTAGTACCATAAGTACTAATTACTGGCAGCCCATCGAAATAACTATTGGAATGTAATATTAGTCGTGTCTGCTTCGTGGGAGAGAAATAAAAATTTTAGTTTTAGTCATGAATATGTCTCATCGATTATGGTATTAGAAGATACTGTAAATATTGGACTGATTTGCAATTTTGCCTTTTAAAAAAATGTAGAGTTATCGAACTAAGACTACGTTCGTTCTTTCTCCATTATGGAGTTATTAAAAATATATTAAATAATAAGTTTAGTTTTATTACTATTGAGATATTCAAATTAAGTTTTCGTCTAGCTGGGATAGCTTGGGCTGAATAAACATAGGTACTTATACGGGTGTAATACTAGGTATATTATATATACAAAATACAATTGGTACTTATCACACACGAACACCTGTAATTAAAGTTATTAATAATAATCAAGAAATAGAAAATGTTAATGACTTTAAATTCTTAGGATTAGTACTAGATCAACACTGTTGTTGGAAAAATCACATAGATATTATATGCAGAAAATTAAACAAATATGTCTACGCCTTAAGAAGACTTAGCAGTTTTATAAGTAAAGAAACAGCGATGATTGCCTACCATGGTTACGTGGTATCTGTATTGAGATATGGACTTTTGTTATGGGGAAACTCGGTCGCCGCCAAAAAAGCATTCCTAGTGCAAAAAAAATGTATTAGAGCAGTATGTGGGTGTGGACCTCTAGACTCATGTAGACCTTTATTCAAAAAATTAAAAATCATGACATTGTGTTGCTTGTATATATATGAAATCGGTTCATTTGTAAGAAAACATCGCTCACCTGTTTGAAACATTATTTGATAATGACAATGACAAAAGACTTCATCTAAGAGAAAACACTCTTAAGAATACCTAAATGTAGAACAACATTGTTTAAAAAAATAGTCATTTCATGTGTATTAAACAAAAATTTATAACAAAATACCAAGAGAATTTCGAGAACTAAAATTTTTTTTTTCGAAATGCCCTCAGACGTTGGCTTATACATAAATGTTTTTATACCCTGCAAGAATTCTTGGATTATAGAACAAACGAGTGATATATTGTGTTGTGTGTTTTTAAAATTACTTTGTATCTGCTATTTGTAATGGGACATTGAATTATGTTATTATTATATAAAACACATAAAATACTACATATTAATATTTTTTTTCTCAATTACTGTAATTATGATTGTATTGAATTATGACATTATATTCTATTTATTTTTGTGATTGATATTATTTGTTATTGCTTAAAATTTCAACAATTTTTGTTCATTTTGTTTTAATTTAGGTAATTAATAGTATTTGATTGACTTAGATTGTGTTTGTATCAATTATATTATTTATTTGTGAAATATTTGCATGCCAATGAGGCGAAATATGTCTGTAGGTACTTTTGTCTATACTGAAAATCTTTATCTACCATATTTCTGCAAATAAAGATGATTATGATTATGATTAAAGTAAAAAGTACTGTCTACTAATCTTATAATTAAAACTCAATGAGTAATAATACAATAATTTTTAATATTGAATGATTTCTGGTGGGTTTTCGACTGACAGACAGCTTTTCTAACTAGTTATTATTATTTCGGTACTTTATTATTATAATACTATATATTATAATACTTTAGTTAGGGGCCTCCTAAATTTCCTAATTTTCGTTGTCTACGCGTTGATGTGCGTCGTTTACTTTTGGTAAACTCTTTACGACACAAGATTAATTCGAATGAAATACAAAGTGAATTATCTCTACAGGTATTACTCGATTAAATATTTACTCAAAACTGAAGTAGATATCTAAAGATTAATACGTTAAATAGTCAATCTGACGCACTGTTTACAGGAGGTGTATGAGTTGCCTGCGTATCTTGGTGCTGCAAATACCTATAGTACAAGCAGTACTTTATGTACTAATACTAGTGCTTTGGGCGGAAGATATGGTATGTTAGCAAAAATTTAAGACGTTTGTATAAGATATTTGTTTATGTTTTATGGTTATAGTTAAGAACTAGATGTTTTAGAGTGGTCAACGAAATGCTATTGTATAAAATAAACTTAATTTACTGATATTTTATAGAAGTATTTTTTCTAATTAAATTTACTCTAATACAAAGCAAGCGACTTAAATAATGACCAAAAAGAACTTCAAATTAGTCGCCCATTATTCTGTTATAATGAAGTTAAGTTCAATCTTTAGAGAATGACCGCCCGACATAAAAATTTAACTTGACTATGTAACTACAATGGATTGAAGCTATGCTGTTCTGCTGGAAACGATTTCGCTAAGTCAGTCAGTCTTTTATGTATTTAAATAGTAAAATTAACAGGCTATACATGTCCCACTGCTGGGCAAAGGCCTCCTCTATACAGAGTGTAGAGGGCATAGTCCACCACACGGCCCCACTGCGGATTGGCGGATTTCACATACATTACGAAAATATGCAGTTTTCCTCACGATGTTTTCCTTCACGATTTTGTGATAAAAATAGTACTTTACACATTTCATTTTCTGAACATTCTGAATTGAGTATGACGAATTAAAGGCGAGTGCTCGGGCACTGGGCTATCACGGCTCTAGTTATTAGTAAATCTAAATTATTCTGCTATTAAATGACGACGTGTGTTTTGTAGCCTATTTACCGGCTTTACCGACCAATTCTAGATCACCGGAGTATTTCAACATCATCATCATTTCAGCCTGTTTGAGTCCACTGCTGGACATAGGCCTCCCCCACAGACTGCCGCGAAGTACGATCCTGAACCACCTGCCTCCATCGACTTCCCGCACATTTGCACAGGTCGTCCATTGCTCCATCTAGTAGGGGTTGTCCTCACCGAGGCGTGTTTATGCGCAGTACCGAGACACCGGTGCGTTCCGTAGGAGATCCCGGAATCTCTCCAAACATACAGAAGGTGGCCACCGAGGAGGTTTTAGTGGGTACGAAACCCACATTACCCTGTCATGTGAGAAATGACAGGACATCTATTGAAGATTTCCCCCTCAATACCAAAAACTAAAAGACGTCATACACTGCGATGGCCAGTACGAGGCTGCCACTCAAGAACCTTTCTTCCCCGCCGGACTGTTTACCGAAACTTGTTTTTGAATCATCATTTTTATTCTCAGATGCTGTACCGCAGATGTTTGGTCTACATCCAATGCTTCGTTGCGGTGTCAATTTTGTCGGGAATTTGGGGCGTAGTGATGTGCGTGCGCGCGGCGGAGTCAATGGGGAACGTCTTCCGACCTAGGTACTTCGCTTTGCAGTTGGTCCTCATCATAGTGAAGCTGCAATACAGTCTGGCCAAGCTGCTCTCTGATTCGGTCACGCTGCCTTGCATCACGTCCCTTCACCCGACGGTCTTGGTAAATGGTGAGTTCTGGCTCTTCTTGTTTTTTATTTATTGCTCCAAATCACATCAGTTCATTATCATACTATTCGCGGTCATTGCCTTTTTGTTTTTTGATTAAGTATTTTTACCGCCTTTTCTTGGGCCACTAACAATTAATCTTAACGAAATTCAACTTAGAACTATTACTAGTAGGTTCATCAGCTAAGACTGTCAATATTGTGATTTCTTGAATTCAACATCGGGTCAAAATTAAATTATTTTTATGTCTGACCTTCTTTTCTTTTTGTATACAGTGACACAAAATACCGTAACGATTTTCGAGATGCTACTTCTGTCTATCTGGGCTTGGCGTCTTTACGGTGTAGCTCATGGAAAGGGAGTGAACAATATTCAGAAGATCGGTGTCACCGCATTGGAAGAAGGCAACGCGGCATTAGATGTGAAACCGACCATAGATGGCGTCGATAATAAATCCTTCAACGTCATTAGATGCCACGATAAACAATAGTTTCGTATTATTACGTACTGATATAATTTTTCTGTTGTGTGGATTTCGAGTTTGTGCCTTGCTTATCTGTGCAGCGCACTTTGCAAAGCGCTTTTTGTATACCGGTGGTACTGTTTAGGGTTAGTAGATAGTTGTCTACCGCCCCCTTTATTTTTAGTTGGTTCGTAGTAGGTGTCTACTTATTTTTAAATCTATCTTTGCTAAGCATACCTTACTCTATTATGACTGTGTATCTAGGTTTAACTATTAGCAAAATACAAATATGGTGATTTTGTAAATAAATTTTAATTTTATCAAACATAAATGTACCTGATTTTATTTTTATGTGTTGTACGATTGGTGTTGAATAATTAAAATGTGAGAGAATTCGGAGTTTTCTTTTTGATGACATGATGTCTGCTCAAATTCGATCAGCAAATATACCACTTTAAAAATACACTATGAGTAATATACATATATATATATAAAAGAGAATGTATGTATGTATGTTCAAGTAAAATTCGAGAACTGTGAGCAAAATTTATATGAAACTTATTACATATATAAAGGGCGATATGATCACTTCGACGAACATAGTTGAACTTGAACATGACACGTTAGTGTCGGATAGGTGGCGCTTATGGCAGTGATATTTATCTTTGGAACCATAAGTCGAATTGATATACGGTTAAATGTCTATAAATAATAAATCTAATCAATAAAAATTTTAATAACAGCTTACATACATAACTAGAAGAATTAAATAACAGAACTCTGCGCGATGGGTATCGAAAGTGAAGCATAGTAGGTATGTAAGCTCCACCATGTGGGTCACACAGAAATTTTTTTTTACGTGAGAAGGTGGTAAGCGAGCTGACGGTTCATCTGATGTTAAGTGATAGCCACCGCCCATGGACATTTGCAACTTGTAGTGTTGCAGATGCTTTGCTACCTTTCGCCCGCCATTAAGCGGCAAGGCGTCTATGTGAGTATTGTTACCGTCAAGTACCTAATAATGATCAAATACTTGCATCTTGCAATGTGAAATGGTGTAAGAAGAATTCATCACAGGTTAGACACTAACTGGTTGATTTATTATACTTTTTGACATTTTAAAATCATTATTCTCGGAATGAAGACCAAACAAGAAATAAACGTGTGTTGTCAGAAAATAAATGGGTAATATTCCCGACGGATTGAGTAATTAACAATATTGTGTTATTTGTAATTATTTGCAAGGGCTGACTAAGATTGTTTTATAGGTTTTCTACAGCAAAGCCATTGATTCCATCCAAAAGAAGCTTGATAAATGCTATAAATTTAGATACAAACGATTTGTATCAAAACATCAAACATTAACATCTTTCGTGGTATAAAAATCTAAATAAAATTAAGCGTTAAAAGACAATTATCGTACTTTTTGTTATTAAAATATTAGAAAAATTTATCGTATAAATATAAGTTATATTTATACGCTAAATATAATAGTTAATATAATTGAGTACACTTTCTCAGGGATAGAAGAAAAAATCAGTCCGTTTAAAAATATTTCAAAAAATATTTGGTCATCATATTTTATCATAAATTAGGATGTATAGCAAGGACAATGAGCATTAAAGTTTAAGTATATAAAGAATTAACAACCGTTAAGGATTTTACTTTATTTTTGCAGTTTTTGATTGAACTGTGTACGACACAATCAATTGAATTACCTATCAACTGCTGCAGTGTTTTTCTTATCTTTCATGCAAAAGAAATACGTAGTTTTAATATTTAACTATATTTTTGTAATTTTAAAAAACAAGTTAAACATTTCTTTTAAAAAACAACTTCACGGTAATACCATTTTTTTTTATGCGAAAATTGTCAAACGAGCAGACGGTTCACCTGATGTTAAGTGAATACCGCCGCCCATGGACATCTGCGACACCCGAGGGTTACAGATGCGTTGATAACCTTTTGAAAATTGGGCTCCGGCCACCTCAATCACCAGACGAAACGCGAAAGTATTTGTCATACTTCCACTTCACGCCGGTCTTCTGTGAGGTCGTGGTACGTACCCGGACGGGCCCGCCCATTCGTGCCACAGCCGAGGCTGCTGCGTAGCCCTACCACCGTTTAAACCATGGCAACCAATACCAACTTTTTGGTATTTACCTAAAATTCCAGGTTATTTAATGAAACCGTTATCAATTGCATTTAATGTCTTTTTCACAAACAAAGAGTACTAGCACAGGGGATAAAATTTTGAGTTAATTTTCTTTCGTTACATCTGTTATATACATTTTTATTATTGCGAGGATATGCAGGTTTCTGTCATACGTAATTAATCTGCATTTAAAATTACAACAGTTTCATTGTTGCCAGCACCTGGCTTCCTCAGTCCTCTGTACACTGATTTAAAAACGTGCGTCTGGAAAAATAAATTACAACTGCTCTTAATCGTATTAATATTGATGCTACAATATTTCAATGGAGATATTGGATAAGGAAATGTTTCTTGTAGAAGTTTGACATCCATAATTAAAAGTATACAAAACAATAAAAATTATTTTATATAATTTTATTTCACGAAAAAAATTAATATAATCAAGTATGGCTTTAAATAAAATTTTGATTATAATACAATAAAATGGTGTAACACTTTAGATTCGTGTTTGAATTTTTAATAAGTAACTGGTCAGAACTGAACCCCACACATATAAGTGGCGATGCGATAAATGGTAAACGCTTGCCATAAAGACATTATATGCTGGCAGAATCGAAAGATTACCGCCAAATTGTTTCACAACTTTTTGAATACTATTTATTATCTTTATCAGAACTGTTTTGTTCCTGATTTTCTTCGTTTTCTTCTGACGGTGTCCCAGCTCGAGAAGATTCTGAGGCGTAAATGTTATGCAATTCTTCTAACTTGTAATTTATTTTGACACCTTTGGTTGCGGTTTTATTTACTTTGGTAACTAATGACTTTGTTTGTTCCTCCAGTCTTTTCAATCGCATGTCTCGAGCAGCAAATATCGCTTCATGATCTATATCATTAGAAGCTGATGGTTCTGGTTTGTTTTCCGTTGATTTCGACTCTACTTTAGCTTTTTCCGATGAACATCCAACTGATTGAAGATTAACATTACATGCTTTCACAAATTCGTCATGAAGTGTGTCTAGCTTATTCGAAATATGATCACCGGTGGAAAGCGTATTCGTTATACTATTTATTACGATAGAACATCCGTTCTCGAGATTTTGGAGTCTTTGGTCTTTAAGTGCAAGATGCTCATCCTGTTTCTTGACACTATCTAAAATTGCTTTGAAATCTACTGCAGATTCCTGGGACGTCAATGAATTGTCTCTTTCCAGAAATTCCGCAACTTTCGTTTGAATTTTTTGTGAGTTAACATATCCTCTGTCATCAGACGTTGATGGTTTTTGAAATAGCTTTGAATGGTCTGGCTGTTCTAATACTTTTGCGCCTTTATTTCCTTCCGTTCCATTTTCTGGTTCTGTATGTGAACTCAAGTGAAGGTTGAAATTTTTGTTATCTTTTTTTAAAGGTATTTCAGTGTCTTGAAAGTTCTGTATACTCGATGTAGGTCTGCAAATTAAACGGTTTAATGTACTATCTACTTCATTACTAATTTGTGATAAGTTTTGAGACTTATTTAGCAATAAAATACTGTCTTTTTCCAAGTTCTCTAATTTCTCGTCTTTTTTAACTAATCTTTCATTTTGCTCCCTAATGCTATTCAAAATTTGTTTGGAATCAATCGTACATTGTCTATCATGTGTTTCTTCAGGTAAATTACTTATTTCAACTGACTCCTCATTCATTGAAACTTTATTAATGTTTATTAAATATTTGGATTTATCCCTCGAACTATGTGAAAATGATAGTCCACTATTTTCACATAGTTCTTCCGTTACTGCAGGCTCGTCTAAAGAAGAGTTAGTTATATCACCAACTTCATCTTCAGTTTCAATAAATCCATTTTCATACTTATTCATGGGCTCGCTAGTAGTGTCCGATATTTCTAAAGGTTCCTGTTCTTGATTATCGAGTGGCAAATCTGCTACATCCAACATATCACTAGCTGGATCTTCTCTTTCTGCCACTAAATTAAAATCGGTGCTTGAATCTATAGCAGTTTCAAAGGATTTTTTGAGTCTTTTCTTACATCTAATTTGCGTCTCCTTCGCATATTCACATTCATCGTTGGATTCCGAAGACTCATCTGATGGCCTTTCATCGCTGTAACCGCTTTCGGCGGAATAGTTTATAGACGTAGATGCCGATTTTAGCTTCCTGCTAGAAAATTCCTCTCGCAGCTTTTTCCAATCTTTTTCGGACTGAGTGTTTTTCTCGCGAGCTTGTTCCCACTTCTCCCGACAATATTCTAGTTCCTCTTTCAGTTCATTGAGCAGTTTTCGCTTTTGTTGTAGTTCATATTTAAGTATTTTTTCATGGGTGTGTAATTGATGATGATGTCTACGCAATCGGCCGACAACATGCCACGTTTTGCTCAGCTCAGTGGTAACTAAACACAGTCGACGTTCTTGTTCTTGTAATCGTGTCTCCAAATGACCATTTAATTGTTTCATTCGATTTACTTCTTTAATTAATGACAATTTCTCAACAATTAAGTCCTGTAAAAGAAAAGTGCAAAGGTTTATATAAAACAATAAGAATACGAAACAAAACAAGAAAGCAATGGATGCTGGCAGTATCCTCGTAATACTTTTTAAATTGCAAGTGTATTTGGCTCAAGACCAACTCTTATAATAGATTTTTGTTAGAAAAACGTAAACGATTGGTCATGAACATATTTTTGTTTGCTAATAGGAGCTGCGTTGTCTGCGAATAATATTTCTAAAACATAAGAATGTAATAGCTTATAATTTACCTTCAGTCTTATGTAGGTTTGGCTAACACTTGGGACCAAAACGGGGCCTGACTTTGTCTCAACTGACTTATAACATGTCGTAACTTTAGTATCGTCATTACTGTCTGGTACACTTTGATGGCTCAAGAGTTCCATAAGTACTCTCCAAACTTTCGGAAGGTTTTGTACAATTTCTTCTGCTGTAGTATTTCCTGAATTGTTAGCATCTGTAAATTGGAATCGAAAATACGGATAATTTTTCAGATTTAATTACATTTAACGTTTTATTTTTCTATTTACCTGCTCCTTCATCATTTTTAATATGGTTTTCGTTTTCTATTTGTTCTTGATGTGCTTCTTCTGATTGTTGAGACTCTTCAGTTTCGTCCACTTGGTTACTAATTGTAACAGTAACTTAGGTAAAGCTGATGAAGCTTCTGATCCATTTTCACGTTCAGCCATTTGTGTGAGAATTCCATGATTCTCTTCCAGACGGTAGACAAGTTTATCTAAATCTTTTTTGTTTTTATACCCTAAAAGAACTTGCGAGAAAAGCTAGAATGAACATAAACTGTGTTACTCACAATTTGGTTACTAAATTCTCTAAAAATCTTGCTATTTAAGATCAATTTGTTCGAAAGTGACATGAAAAGAAAATTGATTTTACTGCATGCTTACATAAATTAGGAGAAAACATAAAATGCTGATTTTATTGTAACGTTCCATTGACGACGAAAAGTTTTCGTATGGTGAGATCGCATGGTTGGTAAAATTATCTATCATAATGTAGCCAACTTGGTTACAGCTAATGATTTAAATCCCTCAACAGGAATAACAACAGATATTAATATTAGCTCATTAGTTGACACCCCTAACGACCAATTGCAAAACTAAAAGGTGTAGAAAATTAAAGTAACTGTTGGCTTAATAATTGCTACCTCAAATTGGTTTGATTCGTCATCTTTCAATAGAACTCTTCAATAGAAAATTTACCTTATTAACGACTTCCATTTCTGATTTTAAGTCATATGTTTCTTTCCGGCATGTCGAGATTAGATTATTTTTTTCGTCAATCCTATCTTCCAATGCACTAACTGTGGTCTCCAGTTCTTCCACTTTGGTACTTAAGTCACTGTTTCTAAAAGCATAAAAGGTGGGCTATATTATATATCTCATCCTTCAAGGTATATGAAACGTTCAGAAGTTAAATTATTGATAAAATTTACTTTTTCATTTCGACTTCATTTATTTCTTTTTGTTCTTGGAGTTCTCTTGTCAGAGCTTGCCTGGAGACTTCGGCTAACCTTGCTCTTTCTTCATAGAGACCACGTAAAGTGCGAATATTTTGCAACTGACGTTCATATTCTTGCCTCAAGTCAGCGGATAATATATGCGTCTCTCTATCCGCAAGTGACTGCTCAATTTCATTCAATTTGTTTTTCAACTGCAAAAAAGGAAATAACATATTATTGTTTAAATGAGTAATATTCTGACGAAATGGTTCGCTATTGTACTTATAAGATAAATCATTTATAAGTCCAATTGTACTTTCTGGCGCTTTGACAAAATTATTTTGCCAACAATGTTTAAAATGACGCGCACATTGCGTTATAGCGGTCTTTGACCGGGAAGGTAACTAACTTTCCCTTTGAATCGAAGGTCGATGCCATTTGGAAAAACGAAGAAAATAACATTATTTGCTATTAAGGAATATATTTCAATGGACAGGGCCAGTTTTAGAGGTCTGGAGGCCTAGGGGCAACGAAAGAGTGGAGACCCCTTGGCCCCAAATTATTTATTATTTATTTCTGTTAATATTTAACTTTTATTTATTGAATGTTTGTACAAAGTAATGTAGGTAAAAGCAAAACGCGAAAAATGATGAGAAAGTAAAAGTTGTTTACTATTGTTTACTAGTACTACTACTAGGTGAATTTGCATTTTTTTTCCTAAGTCGTGAAGCTAGATTAATTCATACAAAATTATAATAAAACAATAATAACAAAATAATTATAAACTGTAATTTCAGGTCTTTTTGTACCGCTTTTGCAGCATATCACAGCGCCTGAATTAAAATAAATATATGATTTACCACCACGTATGTCTTATGAAATATTGCTCAATCCTTATTAGGTTGACAAAAGATTTTAGTAGGAATATATATGATATTTATGTAAAGCTGATTTAATTATCATTTTTTCAAAAAAAGAATATTTTAAAAGATTTGTTTAAAATTCAAATAGCATTTAAAATTTACAAAGAGTTTCAAAATTAATAACGCTTTTTAATATTCTATTTTTTTTCTTTTTGACTGTTTAGCAATATCACCCCTTAAATATGGTGGTTTTAGGGGAAGTCTAACACTGATCTAAAAATTTAAATTTACGATAACTTGCCTGATTCAGTTGTTCCTCTCGTAAATTAATCATGGTTTTGCTGACGGTTATTACTTCTTTCAACGACTTAATTTGTTTGATAGATTCTGTATTTTGAGCACTTAGATCGGCGATATCAGAATAGGCGGATTGTAAGGCGTTGTTAGAACCCGCTAATTCACATCTTAACCTATTGTTCATAGATTTTAAGTTTTCAATTTCTTCTTTCATTTGCAGAATGGATTTTACAAGTTCAGAATTTTCATGAGTCGTTTGCAACTCCTGAGGAATATCAACATTATTTTTAATTAATAGCTCTCTTAGGAGATCGTTTCGTTCAGCTAATTCCAGTTTTAACTTAATTTCATTTTGCAAAGATTTTTCTAATTTTATTTTTTCTGTCTTATGCCTTGATAATATTTCTTTTCTCTGTTCACGTTTTATATTCAACTGTTTTTTAAATTCGTTCATTTCTTCTTCTTTCCTCTTAGTCCTAATGTCGTCATCGCTATCAGTATCTTGAAATGCTTCAACATTTTTCTTGTCAGACTGAACGGTATCTTCCATTGTTTTGCTTTCACATACAATTTTATCACTCGCTGTTACGCCCTCTCTTGTTAAGGAGCCACTGAGAATGTTTCCCATTTTGGAATTCTTTTATAAGGAACCTTTTATAATAAATATACTATAGGCAGGTAATGACTGATACACTTTTAATAAGACAAAGAACTGTCGACTACTTTGATCATTGCAAGCATGAGGCCGCGATTCCCGAAATAGATCCCCCGTCAGACCCAGACGTGTTCCTACGTTAAATGTTTGTACTGTATTGCCGAACGATCTTCAACTAATGTATGACGATTATTTATTTTTAAACATTTTATTTTAGACGTAATAAGTTTCCGTTTATCTATCACGGGTAACTACGTATGCTTGCTGATTACTTTTTCCGAGAATTAAATAGTATGGCAAAAGATTATTTGAGAAACCTCACAATAACTGGCAACCTGAAACTCACTTGTTAGTGTCAGTTTAGTCTATTAATTAAGCAAAGAGCTGAGCTATAGGATCAGACACTATTTGGTTAATTAAAGAATAAATATTTATTTCTTTTTTATGTGAAAAAGTGGCAAACGAGTTTGCGGTTCATCTGATGTTAAGTGATAAGCACCGCTCACGGAAATTTGCAGATGCGTTGCCACCTTTTAATAAAATGGGGCCCATGGGCCGCACCACACGAAACGTGCAAGTATAAAACTTCCACTTCACGCTGTTCTTCTGTGAGATCGTGGTATCTACCCGGTAGAAAAATTCACAGTCATGAGTTTTATATTTTTTTCGATAGTTTCAAGTTTCGAGTCGAATATTCTTTATTTCTATTAATTTTATGTATCTATTCAAAAACAATGTAAACTTAATGTATTAAAAAAATTACATGGTTTTTTTTGCGATACTACGACCTTAATATTTTCATATAATGTTATTTGAGGCACAATTTATCTAGCTGTGTAATTGACGTCATATTTTTTATGTATTGTTTTTTTACGTGTTTAATTCGTGTTTGACTTCGGTCCTGGCATCATCAATTAATTAAAATGTAGCGTAACCATTTTCATTAAAATTTATACAGTCGTTGTTTTCTTATAAAAATCCAAATCTGCTACTATTTACAAATATTAATTTTAAAACTGAGTGTAGATAGTAAGCTCATGAGAGTATTAGTGTTCTGTTGTAAGCTTGTACAATAAACATTTGGAAAGTTCAGAAGCAGAGAACTAAAAAACTTGTAATATACAAATCAATGATATTTAATATTACATAATATTATTTTATACGTTAATATTCTTTTATACTATATAAATATAGTATTAAATATCATTGTTACAAATGTTACAATTTATCTAAAAAATATTTGATAAAGTTTTTAGTTGGAAACCACAGACATTGATAAAATTCTGTCTTAAATGTAAACGTCAATAATGTCAATTACGACATTAGGATTGGGCGACAAACTAATATAATACCTAAAATTTTGGTGTTGGTATTCATAAATAGCTGCTTAATTACTTTTAAATTAAACGTTTTGAAAACAGTGATATCTAAGAAATATTGGTTTTTGGTATATTTATATTGACTCATATACAGTACGTTCTTCACAAAGTAAATATCTTAAGCTGTGTCAAGATAGATTTTTTATTTTGTTTATTTTAAAGTGGCTTAATGATAAAATAGCTAATTAATATCACATCCCGTGTGACGTGGCTCGTTTTAAACAAGAAATCGGACATGTAAAATGTGAATAGAATATCTTTGAGTAATGGATGAAAGCAATAGTAAATCCCCTTGTAAGGTAAAATAGAATATATTGCAGTATATTACCTAATATATAAAGAGATAACACATATATAAATATAATTAATAAATTATATTTATTCCAAATTATCACTTAAAAGTATCAACATATTGTCGCTTGACTCAATCTTTTAATTGTAACAAAGAATTAGATTTTGGTGGTAATTTTGTATTGTTTCTTTTACCTATATAAGTAATAATTTTATGGGAACTATTTAAGTGGCAATTTATTTCTAACAAATATTTTTAACCCTATAATCCTATATTGAAATTTATGTTAGTTGCATATTTCGCTGATTGATTTCTGTATATTTGTTTTAGTAAAATTTGTTTCACAGTTCATAAATTCTAAAGCAGTATCTTAAAAACATACAATATAATATATTCTTAGATATTAATATGTCTAAAATAACTTCTATATGTTATCAGTAAACTCTTGTTAATAATGCACATTGCTTTTCTTGTTTAATTTGCTATAAACACTTCTTGCTTCGCTATGAATGTTAGATTATCATATTGCTCATTTGTTGATATAAGCTATTTTTGTTTCATTACACAAAATATTTACCCACACTACACTAGCTTGTTTTTGATTTTTTTTGATGTTGCACCATAATTAATAGGAATGCAAAAATGGTGCCGGTGAAGCACAGTTGCATGCGGAAGTGGAAAATCTTCGCCAACATGTTGCAGAAAAAGATGCGCACATTGTAGGTCTAGAAGCTGAGTTTGTAAAGTGCACTGCTAGAGCGAATGATCTAGAGGAGCAAGTTGACACTTGGAGAGAGAAATATGAGAGGTATGATTTCATTTAATATAAAAAAAACTGGTTGCCTTTATGATGTTGATGAATTTGCTAGTTATCACTATTTTAGTCAAATAGCCTGCTCAATCAGGTTTTGTTAAGTACTCCTAATGGTGTATATTATAAAGTAATTATCATTTTTATATTTATAAATTCATAATTATATCCAATAGCTAATAATTATACAACACCATCAATAGTAATAAAATTTTTTATAGTACTTTTGTAATTTATAAACCAAAGATTTTTTACAACCTTTTTCATTTTCTTAGTCCCTACCTTAAGTCATAAAAAATATTATAAAAAAATAAGTTATTTATAACATTTCATCAAAATTGCAGAAATGATTAAAGAAAATAAAGATGTTACTTGTATTATATCAACTTTTAATCTATTATTGTACATGTTTAGTCATTATGTTTGATATTGTATTTTACAAGTTATATCACATTTAATTATGGTATTAATACCAGATGAACACTTTATACGGCTCAAGACTGTTGGCCCGTACTGACTGACATGTCTAGCATTATTGAAGACAATAGGTTTAATATTTTATCTTTTGCTATTTCAGATTGTATGATTCACACAAGAGAGTTCAGAAACTGAATCAAGTACTGGAAGATAAATTATTGCAAATGGTAGATAGGATGAAGAGTGAAAAAAGTCAACTGACAAAAGATATTGCAACATTATCTGTACGATTAGCGGAATCTAAGCATAACTATAGTATGCTGCAGAAAGAAAATGTAAGATAGAAATTTGTTTGCTTTTTTATATCATTTTATTGCTTGGTGATTCTGAATAAAAGTAAATAAATAGATAAAATAGATATAATATATGTAGGTGTACCTTTTTTAGTTTAAATACCTAATTTAATTTATTTTTTTATATGTGGCTTTATGTGTTGTTTGTTATTGTCCAGAAATTATGTTTCATGTTGATTAACGTTTTATACTTTGGAATGGTTTTGATATGATATTAGAAAGCTTTTTTGAGCACAATTTATGTATAATTTATTGTATGTTTATTTTCCTAACAATTGTACTAGTTTTAACATATTTTTAATCTATTTACATTTATGATTTGTGTGCTTAAAATGCCAAAATTATAACATGCATTATATTGAATACTTTTTTATATTTTTCGAGTACTTTTTTCATGGGAACTATCAATTAACTTTTACAATATTTTTTCTGATTTCATTTACGGGTATTGTCATTTTAGCTGAAAAGTTACTTTTATTAGAATAAATTTTATAAAATTTGTTCAGGAATAATGTAATTTTCAGGAATAAAGTATTTTAAAGTGGTTCACATCCCGCTACTATATACATATATTAATGTAAATGAAATTCATGTTAAACTATTTATGTGTATATACATATAGGTTAAATACTACATAATTATTTTATTATAACGCTTTTAAAATTTGACTTGCAGGAAAGATACAAGAACGATATGAATTTAGCAATTCAACTGTTGCAATGCAAACCTGACAATTTTGTTTCGCAGAAGCTTGACAATGTAAGTCGTGGGCATCATTGAATTGGCATGAATATCGGGTGAATTGGCATGAATATCGGTGTTCAAATAACACGCGGGCAATTTTCCCACAGCTCCCCGTGGACACACAGGCGCGGGTGTCTCAGTACGTCATGTCGAAGGCATCGAAGCCGGCGAGTTCGAGCCAGTCCAAGAGCGGCAATGACCTGGACACATTCGACGCTAGCGAGTACGAGTTCAACATATCCGCCTCGCTGATGTCCAAAATTCTCGAGGACAGCATCCAGGACACCCTCACCAAGCACTGCGACACGTGCACGTGCACCAAAACCCAGAACAAGCCGTTCTGCTACAATGAGAGCTACTACACCGTATCGACTCAAACGCTGGTCAGCGGCGAAATGAAGAACTCGCTCTGCCTGAACTGCAATGCCGAAATGAGGTCCGTCAAGTCGAACCTAAGCGTCAGGAGTGTCTCACCGCACGGCGTCAAAGTCATCAACGAGAAGAACAACCCGGCTCTTGGCATGTACATAGTGCCGCAGCCTGTAGCAATGACGGAGAGTAACAAGCAGAAGATGGAGAAGGCCGCCCTCAACAACAATATTATGGAAGCGGACGCCGAAAAGGAGAAGAACAAACTGGGCAGTAACCTCGGGAACGAGGCGTTCAAGAAAATCGAAGAGGAATTGAAGCAGCTGAAGAAAAGTAACACCAGTAATATGAATATGGAGCCAGCGGTGCACCACAAGCTCTGTGATCGGACGAAGACTTCGATCTCTAGCAAGAAGAGCAGTGTTCACAGCGCCGGAAACGAAGATCTAATCATTAAAGAGCAGGCTGCCGATAAAGACGCGAAAGTATGTAATCAGATCCGTTTGGGCGAAGCTAGTAGTTTGCGGAAAAATTCCCATAGTTCTATGGGCGCAGCGAGTCGCACCTCCTCCGTGGCTAAATCCACGGTCAGCACACACAAATCCAACACCCAAGTGGGGCCTGGTCCGAGATTCTGCCATCTGCGCATGCAGGCAGGCTCCAAAAATATCCTTCTCGACAACGCTGAGCCAGACGTTCCGCCCGTGCTGTACAGGCGTCAGAGCAAGTCCATAGAGAACTCTATTTTTAAAGATCTACACGATGACATGGACAACTTTATAGACTTAGCGAAGACCGATGACGCGTACAAGAATGAGGTGAACAACCACAGTGTAGTAGTTGAGAGCACGCTCATCGACGTACACGTGGACAACAACAACAGAGACTCGGAAGACTCAATTAAAACCAGTTCTATTAATCCGATCCTATTGAACGTGTCGTCTTCGCCCCTGCAACCGTTGAAAACGCACAACTTCTCCAATAGCTCCGAGCACAACAACAACAATAACGGCCGAAGCATCAGCAGCCAACAGCACCAATCGGAAATCGATAATTTGTTGAACGACTTCAGCGCGCACAATAATACGCAGAACAACAGCACTGAGACTGACGCGGGCAAAAAATACATCAGCAACAGTGGCGCTGTCGACAACCAGGACGTGAAAATATTCAACTTCGACCGCTACGAGCAAACCAAAGCCGGCCAGTTCGCGAGGCCGCTGAAGAAAATCGACATGTCGCAACTCCACTCGATCGAGAAAACAAAAATCTCGAAGGACTACCCGCCGATAGGCGATTTGTCGAGTTTCGATAAGACCACCGAGGCGAGCGTGAAGCAGGCCAAGTCGTCGCTGCCGGCCATAGTCAATGTCTATCCGAATCTGACTCAGACGCATTTGAAGGTGAACGAGAGCACGAAGGTTTTCACCAACGAGCAGAGCACGAGCTCGCTGTCGAGCGACGACAGCGCCGCCCTGTTGCAGAAACAGCAACTGCTGAGGGTCGCCGAGTGGGTGGAGAAGAACCTGGAGCAGCAGAACAGCTTCAACGACCCCCTGGAGGACGAGTGCGGCTTCGCGAACCGCAGCGCACGAAGGGACAGCAAGCTGAGCAGACTCACCGAGACTTTAAACGAGCTCGCGCTCAACATGCCGCATCCAGTCAGCAAGTTCTCCAAGCCCTACCCAAGGGACGGCCAGACCAGCTGGGTCCACAAGAGCCTGAACGAGAGCGCCGGCCAGGATAAATCGAGGGGCAACTTCAAGGCGACCGGGTGCATCGCCAAGGAGACCATATTCCCGGTGGAGAGCGGTGACGTCACCGTGACAGAGATCAACGTCGACAACTCGACACGGGCCGGCGCCAATGACGTAGGCGGGCAGTTGGCGGACGCGTTAAATTCCAAATCGGACAAGGAGATCTCGCCCGAGGATCTCGCTAGGATGGAGTACAACGTGAAGAAGTTCCTGCTGAGCGGGCCGCAATGGGCGAGCGCGGTCTCCGTCGGCAGGAGCAGGCGCACCAGCAGCAAAACCGAGACCGACGTCTGATTCCCCTTCGGAGCTAACGCCAAGCTAAGCCCAGAAACCTTTGGCCAGCGGCGAACAGTTCATAGCATTTACATACGTTCTAGCGACTAGCCGCAAACGTGCGGTGGCGGCCAGTGGCGCATGTTTTAACTCAGCTTTTAACCGCAGCGCTGCGTATGGCATGTGGTGCTGCCCTAAACAAAATGGAGGACCGATTCAACGGATTGCGGATTATAATTTGCGGTGCCTGTGGCGCGGCTCGTTCACGCCGAGGCAAAGTACGCGTAAACATTCCGTTGAAATTTCCACTAGATAGTTAGTAGAACCTGTCGCCCGTTGCGAAGTTAGTATTTGTATCGTAGCCTTATCGTTTGATTTGTATGTTTGAGTGCTTAAATTTGACGCTTTCGAGGCTAGATATATAAATGAGCGTTTCCCGAGATAAAATGCTTGTTTGTCAAACGGTGAGCTGAAGATACTTTGTAAGGATCGTTTGTTTCACACTTGTTTTTTTTTTAATTTATCTACATTTATTTTCACATAAAGTTTAAAAGAGATTAAAATATATAAACTTTTCATGCGAGAGTGATCGATTTGACATTTTTAAGTTGTTTTCTTACATAATACGTGTATTTATATTGTTTTAATTTTATACTTCATCGAATTTATACCCTAGTCATTTCTCATAATTTATCCAACGTCGTAGATTTTGATAGACTCAATGTACATCAAGGTACCTATATGTTTTTTATTAGGTAATAATAAGTATTTTTAATAACTAATGCTGCCACTTGCAAAGATGTATAGGATTAGTATAGGATCACGGTAATTATAATGAAAACAAAGTATTAGGAGGGACAAATACGCATTAAAGTTTCTATTAATGTGATAAATACAAAGTATGAGAATTAGCTTACAACTTGTGTACAAAATTATTAAAGCACTAACGCGGTTAAGCGCATAATGTAAAATCAATTAAGGTATGAATACATTCCGATCGTCCAATATATTCCGAAGAAATCTATTATGCATTCCATATATCGTTTGTACGAAATCCGTCGATTGAGAATTATTAAGATGATAAAAACTTAGTTAGGTACTTTCTGCTATGCATTTATTATTGCGTGATGGAAACTGTGAAATACAATTTATCAACGTATCAAATAGTATTTTTTCAATGAATACCTTAAATTATAAAATGGACGAATGTCATTTGTTCGGATTGGCCCCTCACAAAATCTTTATACAGTATGTTGTTACAACCGCGACAATAAATGAACACCCGTCTAATGCCACTTGCCAATAATTATAAAAAAATACAAAACATTAAAAAAATCCATGATTAAAAAATATATTTTTCAAACAAAGTAATCAAATTAAAAAGAAACAAAATCAAACATCCTATACAAGTACAACTGATTGATTCATACATCCAGAGATTTTTTCATTTGTTGCCACAACGTCGCATTACAAGTCTCTCCTTCTAACAGTATGTTTTATCTCTTTTAAATTCATTCAAACCATTCCATATGCTTTGTGACCTTTACAAATGTACTTTACGTTACAGTTTTATACGTAAGGCTGTTCTAAAAATGTTTGTTTTGTAAAGTTTTATAACTCGGTAAATATTGATGCTTAAAGAATGTAAATGCTTAATACAATTTTAAAAAGTTATTCTCTATATGCGTGTTCATTTATTGTTGCGGTTGTATATTTTCTATAGTCGGAACAGTATACACATATATCAGTTTGCACTATGCTCTCTAGTAACTGCATTTTTATTGGTGCACAGGTATTTCCAGATCCGTTTACACTAGACTAGATTGTTAACACGGTACGATTTGCTTGCGGAAAATATGTATTTCTGCATGCTTTGTCGCTATTAAACATCGTTTGTATATTAATTTAAATTATTAACTAAATTTTAAATTATTGATGAAGTGGATAAAAAAATATTATTATGATAATTAACAATAATTTTATGATTAAAAACTTTAGCAAAGTTTAATTTCTTCAATGGTTTCTGTACCACCGAGATGTACAAGATTTTTGAGTAAGTTATATTTTTCTATCAATTATGAAACTAAAATATTAAAATCTTTTTTGTAACGAATAAATACGCCAGATATGTGTCGAATTTCCGGCATCCATCACACGATAGTTACGAATCATGCTAGTGCTTGTTAAGCGTACGACAGCTAATTGACAAAATAATACCACAATACGTGTGTATGTGCGAAATTAAATGTCCACCTATATATTTAAATATATTTTTAAATAGCCTAGTTAAGGTAAATGAAATGATAGTTTGTATGGATGCAAAGCTAATTTTGGTGTGTATTTATGATGTTAAATTCGTGCACAATTTTGTCTTAGTATTAGTGAGCGCCTGATGCCTCTACATTATCCTACAATGTCGCATAATCCCGATTATTGAAATAAAAATAATTTACCATTTACTGTTATTTCTTAGGTATTTTAATTCCTCATTGGAATTTTTTACAATATTTTTTCGTGACTATTATTTGATCTTGATGTGTTAGGATGATGGGTGATCAACTGTGGGTTGTTTTGACGTTTTGTACAAGTTTTTATTGTTTGGACATACTTAGTTAATCTTTAATTTGAAGTGTAAGTAATAGATCTGCTTCCTGGTGTTATCAAAAAAATGCTAAGGCTGGTCCCTATGTATTGAAGCTTAAGCGGCGTGCGATGTAACGATTTATTTATTAAATACATGGTGATGTACTCTTGGAGTTTCATTTTCCATATCGCTTTTTGAATTTAAACAATGTTGCAAAAAATCCTACGAATTATAAAAATTTTTCGTAAACTCTTTGTTAAATTGAAATATCTTCATGATTTGTTCTGGAAACTAGAGAAAGAATACATAGAACTAACATGATTATATGAAGGTATAATTTAATTTAACCATAACCTGCACATTTCTGAAAAGTTATAAATTGAGAAAATACATAAACATGTAAAAGCAAACTCCAAAAACAACCGATATGTACAAGCGGTAATAAAAATGCATTCAAATCAAACCTTAAAGTTATTCTGTTACTAAAAATAGAGCCTTGATAGCTGTGTCCGGGCGTTCGCCTTTAATTACATTTACTCTAGTTAGATCCCCGGTGCCAACACCAATGAAATTGTTAATTTTAAGTGCTGAATTATCACCGTGCCCGGCAGTGAAGGAAAGCATTGTGAGGAAGCCTGCATATTTTTGAAATAGTAATAAAAAAATCATTTCGAAAATATGTGAAGTCCGCCAATCTGCATCTTTACAGAAGAGTACTTTGCCCAGCAGTGGGACATGTAAAGGCTGTTACTTTACTTTACTTTTTTGAAAAATCACAACTTCGTCAAATTAAATGGATAAAACATTAATATTTGCTCGCATATCTATTAAAAATATTCATTTTTTTCTGGTTGCCTATTTTGATTTGTGTTTTATCAGGTTTCTAGTTAAACACAAACGACTTGCTCAGGGTAATACTTTGTGCATTTAAGTGAGATTGCATTTTCTAAGTAGCAGGTGGCATGTTCGCCAGCGCGTGTAATCCATCGCTGCCAACAAGGAGGAAGGGCTTATCGTCCATCAGTACGACATCTGCGGCCTTCGCATTTCCAAAATCACTCCAGCTGAGGCTATTGTTCTTTTGGCCTTGCATTGCGGAGCCATTGTTCGGCTCTTCAATTTTCGCCTTAACATACAATTTCACCTTGGATGATTTATAATTAACACACGCAATTGTTTATTTTTATCTCGTTCAGTCGGTACTTGAAGTTTACTCTTTGAGGATTCCTGTTGTTGCATCGTTCTAAACCTTTTTGATTTTTTATAACCCAGTTCTAGGTTTATAACAGCAATGGCCTTTCATAGGCAAAAGATATTGGTATACGTTAAGGATAGAAATTACATATCGTAATGTATACGACTTATACGCTAAGAATATTATTATCTTAAAAAAAATGTTTTAAAAATACCAAGATTGCATCGTATTAACGGTAGAATATCAAAATATACGCAATATTAATTTTACTACTAATTTAGTGCGTTTACCAGATTAACACTACTTACATCATGATTTACCATCAGGTCGGATGGTAGCACTGGATAATTAATATAAAATTAGTCCGTTTAGTTACAGTTAACTGTATAATACTTAGTAGTTAGTGGTTATTTGGATTATTTTATTTAATGATTAAACTTGTGCAGTAAAACGTTTTTCAATCAACGTGTATATGAATCGTAATACTTTGTGAAAGTGAATCCATCTTCCGACGCGAATATTTTCTAATTTTCCACGCTACCCGTCGAGGTATGTCGCCGATCGTAATGGTGGCTGCAATCGTTTTTCAATAGGCATGCCATTTTATTGCTTTTCCTTGGATTTTGCAATGTCTTCGCGTGCATTGCTTCTAATTATGTCGTTGTTTGTGTCTTCATTTTTCCATCAGATTCTGCAGAACGAAGCTTTAAATAGTTTAGGAACCGAAAGCGCAAATATCTATCATGACAAAGACAAAGATTTATAAAATGCTTAAATAATTTTTCTCACCAGCTTCGCTTCGACAAGTTAAGAGAGGAATGTGGTTAATAAGAGAATATGTACTCTTGGCAATGTGGAGATATAAACTAAATAAAGGCCGACTTAAAGTATTATCAAGTAATTAAAATTCACAATTTCACCGGCTCACAAATTCACAATCGGTACCGTCACCGAGTTTCAAACTTGGGTTAAGTTGTAAATTATAAATTTATTGATGTATTTATACACATAATGTAAGTGTATATCCGTAAATGCATATAACACGTTGTAATATACATATATTTGTGTATATTACGTGTTAGATGTGCAAATTGATATTATGTACACCATTCGTTAAAAATAAAAGCATACATTTGACGCAACTTATGGTCACTCTATCTGCGAGTGAACGCCCGTGAAATTAGAATCACGCGACAGGTGGTCATTCCCAGTCCTTGGTTGTGTGTTCTAGATACTGACAATTATTCGATCCTGCCACGCTTCCATTAGTAAGGTATTCTATGAAACCATCAGATTCAGTAGACCCTGCAACGTGTCTAATTGATAGTTGTATACTATTGCAGTGTCATGTAGCTGAGTGCTAATAATTTTCCTTGGACACGTTTAGTAAGGTCTATGACTGTTACCTAAGTACCCCCGCATTCAGGTGTGAAAGTAAACGTGGTAAACTTCCCAATTTGCGAAGTCCAGTCTTAAATAATAATTACTAATGAGACTCCATTAAAAAAATGAATTTAATACTAGTTGGGTAAAAATTGATGCCGCTGGATTTAACTTATGCAAAAGTAGAGGCAGGTGCCCTACGTGCCTACCCTACGAAATACGAAAGTGAGTATTAAAGTAGGTAGTTATTTATAAATTGAAATAGCAAGTTAACCTTTACCTATTTAAAAATTCTCGCTTTTCACAAAATCTTAACGCTGATTTCAAATAAGCAAGCCGTGTTAAAATATATTACCGTTCATTACGATTTTCGTATTTCATTCTGTGGATTCAGGTAAATGTGAAAATAACATCACTGAACAGTACCTACCGTGATTAGTCATCGATGGAATTATTATTATATTGTCATTTGATGACTAATCATGGTATAAAGTGCTAATAATTATTGACTTATGAAAGACATCTGATTTTGAAAGAATAACGTCAACAGTTTACATCGAAATCTTTAAACACTTGTTTCATTTGAATAATAGATTCTTTATCAGAAGTTTTTAAACGATAACAGAGTATTTTAAGAAAAGAATAACATTGTTTTTTCAGTCAAAGCGGCAAACGTAAGCTTTAAAATGGTGTATGAATTATTAAATTTGATGTAGAGTTATCGAAGTTATGGCGTTCCAACAAAATGCAGTATTTTGAAATAATGTATAAACTTTTTTATTGATAACCTGTTGTTATAGAATCTCTATGCGCCAGTGTTCGAAACGTCAGTTTAAGTCTAAAAGTAATCGGGATAAAAACCGTAAATATGGATTCTTTCAATATTTCCAATTAACCTTTGGTGTGTTCCGGGACTAATTATCAAGAACACCCCGTAGTTCATCATCCTTTTGTTAGGAATAACCTGATGGTCTAAAATAAAGTCGGTCAAGTCAATAAAGCCCGGATTTCACGGAAACTCAATCGAATCTTAATCGAGCTTTCAAAGATTGTTCGTCAAGTCGTTCAATTGAAATCGGCTCTACTGTTAGACAGGGTCTACTTTATTTAGTACGTTTTGATGTCTGTTGGCCTGATTATCATTATGTACCTAGATAGAGGTACAACGTTAGATTTTGCTTCTGTATACAGTTTAATTATCTTATTAAAAACTAACTTTTGTGGAAATTGTTAATATTTCATTCATTTTCCGAGAACGGGTTCACATTTTACATTTGAAAGCACGAAGGCAAGTGCCGTTTTGTTCCCGAGAATTTGGCACTAATCGCTTTTATAGCGCCACACCAACCGTAGGCACTTTGGAAGTCTTTCTCACGTTCGACGCGCATTGGTGCGCCAAAATGAATAGGAGTCATAATGCACACCGTTATCCCAGTAACTGTCTGCTGCTTTGAAAGACCAAACCGAAAACATGCAAGGCCCGGATATCGTTTATCGGCACGATTGGTAGCACTTTCAGTTATTACACCCGTTACGTCGTGTTAGCGGTGGACGTGCATGTGACTGGAAACATTTCTTTGGAGTTACATCTGTTTAACGACTTTCATAGTGATTGCAGCCACGTTGAAGCTGTAACAGCTTTGCTCCGATTTATGTAACGACTGATGCCATTAACATTCTGTAATGCTTCATTGTATAAAAATGGTCGGGCAAAGGTAGTTTTTGCCTGCATTCCTGGAATTCGCAGTACTTATTCTAATTTCTGTTGTACTGTTCACTGAATTCACTGTATACTGGTATACGTAATGTCATTATATAAATTATTTTTTCAACAGTATCTCTAAATTGTGGTAGGGCCACAACAGTCTTCGCTGTTGCACGAATTGGCAGGTCCACCTGGGAAAGTACCGCGACCTCACATTAGCCCTGCATGAATTGGAAATGTTACACTTCAACTTGATGGTGGTAATGCATCTGCAACCCTACGAATGTTGCAAATGTCGCAGGTACCAGCATAGTTGAACAAGGGAAATATTTTGGCAATATACGGCGAATAATGTAATCTTGGATCGAAAACATTTTTTAAGACCGTAACATGCAGCTTCTTGCGAACATACATATTTAGTATGAACTCGACGGCTAAATTCGGTGTCAATGTATGATCCAAGATGTAATATAATCATCGTTTAAAAGTTAAACTCTCAAATAAACCTATCACAAAGGTCTTTGTGAGCTAAATAAGTACTAGTTATGCCGGAACGACTTCTTAATGTAATCGTGATGTAAGTTTTCGGGCAATGCGTGTTCTGTTATTGCCATGACGTCACGTACGTGTGTCAACCGTTAGTACATTTAAAAGTCATTATTTTCGCTACTAGAGTACAAACGGTATACCTACACACAATGCGCAAACCATTACAAAATATTATTATCAGTATAAGAGAAATGTTTCAGTATAGTATTCATACAGCCAGTTATTCATTTATATAATTTTCTAGCTCTACTCACTCTTATTAATTTTGTTTTTTCATCTATTGTTAGATATTACATTTTTACTTTTATATTCTAGTAAAATTATGGTATAAAGATTTTCTATCGAATTTCACTACATTGGAAAGGAATTTAGAAAAAAAGTCTTAGGTACTACCTAAACCGTCTCTTTTTAAATGTTATAAAAACTTATTAAATAATATGAACGTTTCATAAAACTCCAGATTGTTTCTAATATATAATTAAAACTCCGTTAAAATTAGTTGAATATTTTAAAAAGATCTCCGAGTCAATCAATATATAATTGATAATTTGAATAGTTACAGTTTGGTTTTAAATGGTTATTGTATTGAATCTTCTCTATGGCTAAGTGTGAAATTCGAGGAGAAAGCTTTCACACGGCGCTACCGTAAATACTTGTACGTGATTTGTCGTCTATGGTCAGTCTTCCAACCGTGGTCGACTTATGCCAGTACAATCAAATTGGCCTCGTTTATGCAAAGATAGAAATAGCTTTAGGAATGCTGAATTTTTCGATATTCATGAAAAGTCCAAAATATTATGGATTCTAACTATATTTTCCACGATAGTTTATTATTTCCTCTAAAGATTACTCCTAATTAACATATTTTATAACATAATTATGCGTTAATATAGTCTATATGGGCCTTGATTCGACCCCTTCCCCATAATAACTTTATCGAAATAATTACATATACGAATAAAAAAAAAGTTATTATAAACAATTGTATTTGTAAAAAAGTAACTTGATTCCATTGGATGTTAAATTAAACCACTGTCACCGTACTCTTAACCTATTTATTTTAATTTTAGGTTTGATTTTTTTAAACTCTTTGGAGAATTGTTAATGGTATAATAATTATTTTACGTAATAATTCATTATTTTACGTCGAAATTAAACGTCAATCTTGACATGCCATCCATCAATTTCCGTATTCGATTTTTGTTAAACCTGAAACTAACACTATGCTTTTGATTGTTCCTCAATATTTTAAAGTGAATTCAATCTAATTTTATTATCCTGGCTACATGAACAAAAACGTTAAATTGTAAAAGTAGAAGTTCACTGACATTTTCTCACAGCTGTATATAGAAAAATAACTACTTCGCTTTGTTCTTGAAACTAGTTCACTTATAAAATAATTAAATCAAAGTAAGTTGTAAATGGTTTATAAATACAATATCAAAAATGTATGTAAATAAATTAGTTATACATGTCTTTAGCTACACCAAGGTTTTTTTGGCCTACATTTACTTAAAAGTAAGTTATTGGAAGCAACTTAAAGTTTTTTCATAATCTCTATCCCGGCCTCATAAATTCTTGTTGCACTTAAACTTGTCTGTCAGGAATAACTCGTGGTAAAAACTTGCCTTATCTTGCCTTAACTTGAATTAGAACGAGGGAGACCAGTTTGAAGAATCGCACATACTACAAAGAGATTATGAGATAATTGCTTTATTGAAAAATATCATTGAAGAGAAACTATATTTGAAATTACTTAAAAAATTGACCCATTTCTGTCCAATATATCAATGGAAGAGCCAGAAAATGAAATATATCATAAATTTATTCAAGCATTGAAGGCTAAGTCGATGGAAATAATTATAAGAATAGGTTGCTATTTGATGTTTTACAAGACATGATCGTTCCGGGTAACCTATCCATTCGTGGTTAGTACTCGAGATAATCGCGTATCTAGAATTCTATAATAATAATAATAAGAGGTACTACTGCATTTATTTCTGTATGTTTATTTTTATTTATAAACCCAACCAGACGAGAAAGCAAATAAATATCCCCATAATAATAAGAGACGCACTACCGCACTACTGCACCCTTTTTATTTTTATAACTATATAGCTTCTATATCGAGAACTCTGATATTTACTTTTAATTTAATATTCACTAGATATCCTGCTATTAAAGGTAGATAAGGATAAGGAATGTACTGTTGCATGCTATTGCTTACCCGTATTTATAAAAAAAAAACATTTTGTATTTTCACTATCGCAAAATGGCGTATCCGTTTCTCGCTTGTGATTGAATTACCAGTGGTCGATGAAGAATGGGAACCGCGGCCCTGTCGGAAATGCGCTGACAGGAAAGCGATACTGGAGAGCAACGAAACCTGGAGAAGGCAGTGCGGATGCATCAGGACCAGCGATAAGCTGAGAAAGATCATCGAATGCTTCCCCGCGCCGCCGCCTCCGTCGCCTGCTAACGAAATCCGAAATCCGGATCCTTCCACGAAATCCGTGGCAGAGGTAAGCGGAGGCGTAATCACATCGGATACACAACCGCTGCGCTTAAATAAAGTGGGCCCCGGTTACCTCACTCGCCAGACGCAACGCAGAAGTATAACACTTACACTTCACGCCGGTCTTCAGTGAAGTTGTGGTATTTACTCGGACGAGCCTGCATTTGCTTTACCCTATCACAGCCTAATCACCCTGTTACGTCAAATAGTCTTAAGACTAATAGAGTATATCATGACTACTAATAGAGTATATAAACGGTCCACTAATATTGTTGTAAGAATATTAGTTTAACATTGACCAATCTAGCGCCCGCTATGACAAATCAAATATTTTACAGTTGCATAATGCAGCGACATGCATTTCCGCCTTCTGCACCGTTCACCAATCCACATTTTCGGGTAATGAAGAAGAGTGCAAGAGCGACGACCCTATCGCGCCTTTGACCCAGACCATTGAAAAAGAAACGGAACCAGTAAGCTCTATCTCTTTATTATTTTATCAATATTCACCAAAAAAAGGCCAGATAATCGTTGAAAGCTCGCCACGGCTCTTGAAGGAATTTAAGTTTAGATTCTGAATTTCGAAATAATAATGCAATAAAGAAACATACCTACTTATTTCTATCTACAAAATGTGAAAACAATCATATTTTCCTAAAAGGCGTGGTGAATTAATATTTAACAAGCTTTGCTTTGTAATAAATTGATATTCCGACAAGTAAAAGGGAAGCGATGTATTTAGGCTCGTAGTTAAGATGGTATCGGGTAGGATCGTGACGCAGTCGGTTCCCAGAGGACACGGTCAGAGTTGTAATGGGGTCCATGGAGCGCTTTTAAAGCCTCCTTTTGTGATATTATCTAAGAACTACAAGCTCGAGACCTTGACCTCTGCGCTACTAGGATTCCTCGACGAATGTCCCTTTTGTATTGATTTCAATGCATCAAGAGCCTGTGCACTTAATGTAGCTTAAATTATTTTTAGGCGAACTTTATTTAGATGGTGCGGTGAAAAGATCATCATAGGTACTGTGGTTAAATATCGTGTATGTATTTGTATTTATACAGTGGGGTAAATATTATATATATATGATATACCGTAAGAATGAAAGGGACAAACGTTTTAACCGTTTTCCGGATAAAATCAGTTTTTTTTTTGTTTTAAATTAATTAAACAAAATTAAAACATCTCGATTATGTACAAAATTGGACCTTCAACGAAGTTTGACTTACCGGTGCACAGTCGTATTCTAATGTTTCAATTAAAGCATAGATATTATCTCTCTAGGTCGGAACTAAGTTATCTGTGTTTGTGTTCCGACATTAATTTGGGTGAGGTACTCTGACTGAGACGTTTTCATAAACAAGAATTTTGCCGCCGCATAATTTACCACATTTCAACATACTTCAAAATTTAAGTATGTCGAAATGTGAAATTATGCGTCACACAATTTTCACACGAAATTTCATATCCGGTTGCTGCTGTAATAATGTTTGTTAATTGTTTTATATTTTTTGAAAGAAAAAGAAATAACATTTGCCAGGTAAGGTAACTATGACAACAAACCGGTGGTAGATTTCAATATTCATCAACGAATAGGATTCAAAATTTTTACTGTGAATCTTATTGGTTTTTTCCAAATTTCTCTTATGAATAAAATGGAACGCAGTATACGTTATATTTACTTTTAGATCATTCTGTAAGATACAATTTCAATCAATTTAAAACTTAGATTTATGGTTCAGAAGAATTTTCAGTGGAACCTCATTACGAAACGTTGGCAGATTTAAAAAATGACTATCGATAGATGAAAAGTATAATTATTATTTCGATAAATAAATGATTCGATTTCATTTGGTTCATTTGTTCACATTTCATTGTGCAGCTTAACAGGCGATCCTGGACGGTTGTCTCGGAACTGGTACAGCTTTTGCAGCTCTCTGTGACGGCGACAGCACTTGCTCTCTACTACCTCATCTACTGCTACATGCAGCTGGTGTACTATACGCTACGCAGCGCGTTGTATTTCCACAATGCCGACGGGTAAAGTTCAATGGAGTTTACGTAATGATTACCGTTTCATTAGAAGGAGAGAGTACTGTAATTCACCATTTTAATAGTAATTAGAAGAAATGTTCACCATGAAGTAAAATGTGATAGAGGAGAATAATCTTTGGTCTTTCTACATTACGCGGTATATATCAGATGAATTATTCTTCTTAATAAGTAATACGAGCTACATATATTTAATTTAATTATTTATATAGAAAATATAAAACTAAAAGCTTTGAATGATATAATAAGCAAAAAATCAGGCGGTTCGCCTGATAGTAAATGATTACCATTTATTTGAAGAAATTCCAAACAAGAATTCTTAAATTAATATAAACTATTTGCGAATATATCGATGGCTGCTGTTTTAGCATTCATTACGTTCTTACCACCGTGGTCAATTTGGTCAGTATCAATCAACAAATAATCATTGTAACTTCTTGTTATCCTATTTAATGGTGAGTGATGCCCCAAATGCAAAGCAATGCGTGGCGCATCTATTGTCATATCCTTTCCAGCATACAAACAATTTCGAATATCGTTTTTACAAGGATAATTCGAACGAGAGATGTCGCCATTGCTTTTTATAAATTTAAAGTTTTTTATAGTGCTAATCTCTGCACTTATACTGATATGACAATAGATGCGCCACGCATTGCTTCAAATGCTAAATAACAATGTAGAAAGAAGGCGTTAAGATTTTCGTCGGTGTGTCAATCAGCCGTTTAGCTTAGTGGCTAGAGCGTCTGGCCGCGAATGCCGAAGACGTGGTTTCAACTCCCACAGCGGCGACAATCTTTTAGTACTTTTTCTACATGTTTTAAACATAATAAATTCAGAAAATCGTATACCAATTCAGAACATCGTAATTTGCCTAAAGATTCGGGGCATTTATCTTTAATATGAAATTGCATAGGAGGGTGAAGGGTATCAATTTTGGTAAGGGGGGATGAACATGTGTCTACTTGCGGAATATGTTATGTCCTTATGATTAAATGTAATGTTTTATTTTTAGTGTTTAATATTGGATTAAACTGAGCCATGTCGTTAAGTTACAAAGTCTATGAGCATGTTATTCAATAAACTATTTGATGAATTTCAGTTCTTGGTGTTTTACTACAAGATAAACTACTTAAATTAAAATCACCGATAATAATGGCATCGTTCTTATAGCTTTCCATTTCGATATAAAGTGTTCAAATATATGTTTTTGCACAGGAGGAGGACAATAGACACCACAAATGTACTAATATTGATTTTTTCTTTTTTACCTCCTAACCCATAGGTCCTCACATCTGTATTCACAACCCAACAAGCGATTAGACTCATAGATTAGTGAATTTGATGCTTGAATAAGTTCTGTAGTTCCTCTCGTATTATGTCTCGAATGTTGCAGGCTGATGGGCATGAACAGGTAGCGTTAGCTCGTGGTTTAGAACGCACAGTATACACTGCACTTAAAATAGTGATTCAGATACACTTTTTATGCGCGGTATATAATTTTTTGGTTATGGTAAAATAAGTATTATACTACTTTTATTTCGAAAGTCGTACGTTTAGTTTATAAAATTCAATTAAATAAACCGGAGCTGTTTTAACACAATGTTACTCGTATTGTCATTGAAATGACGTTTTTTTGTTGAATTTTAAAGGAAACGCAATAAATAAATATAAAATGCTTGTGAAAATTAATAATTAATTACGTTAATATATTTGACATATCAAGTGCCAATTTGCGAACATAATTTCGAAGTCTTACAATACTTAAATACAACCCGTGCACGGAGATAAGTTTTTATCAATTATCGATTTCGAATGTCGAATTCATTTCAATTCTTTGTCGCAGACCGATGAAGGTAACAATTGGCGTGGTGACCCTGACGTCGCTCATCGTCGGCTTCAACCTGCTGCTAAGGATGGAGCGGCTCATCTTCATCTTCCATTGAACTTGATCCGCACGTATGTGCGATGACAACTGTAAAGCACCGATTGCACGTGGCGTTAAAATTGATAAGAGACAAACAGTCGGAGAGTCGTTAATTGCATACCTTTATATTCTTGAAATAAATTTCTTTGTTAATCGTATTTTTTTTTACTTTCGACTTGCCAATTAGGCCTATTTGTATTAAATATTATAAATACATAATCCACATGTACTTGTTTATGTATTGGCTTTTGTTTCGCAGTTTTGTTTGACGGCTGAAGTAATAGTCTTTTGCAATTTGTATGCGATGGATATAACACTACCTATTACAGAAGTTAACAAAGCCTCTATTAAAAGCGTGACCCAAAAGCTGTCTTAAATTGATTAGCTTTAGAGGGCAAAAGACGGTTAGCGGCCATTTTAACAATTCATTAAAGTGTAATTGCTTTCCATCAATTGTCTGGATAGTATTGAACGGTTTGACCGGAAGGCTGACTAAGATCGCACCTGCGTTTCCAAGATTATTATTTGGGAAAGAGAACGATTTAGGCACTAAATTCTTTAGCCGTGTTAAAAGTTAGACGGCTTATCTAAACCATTTGGAACGGCTAACGTCGACGAAAGACGAAATAAACGACTTAACGAATAGCCTGCGAAATATTTACCGAAAAGCTTTAAAAAAATAACTACATTTTATTCGTATATAAGTTCCACTAGCAATTTTGTATTAGATTAGATGGAAATTTTCATTCAATACGTTAACCATAATGAATTCGACTCGGAATTTCACGTCTTAAAAAATAAAACCTTTCGTGTTCCACGAAAAATAAAGATTAGGACTGAGCTAAGTAGCTATCGACGCATTAGAGCTTTCACATTTTTTCAACCGGCGAATGTTAAGATTTTAGGAAGCCATTAAGGCCCCTTTCGACCACCAGTAGGTACTGCCGGCAAACTGGCGATGGCGGGCGAGGCTGCATGGAGGTTGCAGTCGCTGCGGCGTCTATTTCACTGCTGACCGTCCTCGGAGGCGCGTGCTTCGCACCGCAACACTTGTAAGAGATTCGCGTTTATAACCGCGCTCAGACCTCGCACTGAATGGAGTAAATATAAGGGGCGTTTTGTTTATAGTGTAGTGGGTAATTAATTACTTGCGGTCGCCGCTCAAGTGCCGAACGCACAGTGCATCGGTTAGTGAAAAATGGTGCTAAACGTGAGGTAAGTGGAGTGCGGAGACTGTTTTTGTGGTCGTTTACTCATTCGCAGAGAAATTAAACAGGTGTCTATATTTTTTTATGTAAACGACCAAATTTTATTGACACTGTGCATGTCTTATTTGAAATCATCTTTAGGACGATGTATTTAAATTACGATGTTTGTGAAATTTATTTCAATGATTAGGTACTTATTCTTTTATTTACTCGTAAATGTAACTTTCAAGCCACATTTTATTTAATATTGATTAGTTCGTTTGTAACTCCTACAGTATTGGGAAATTGCAAAAGTAAATATTATTCATGACGCTCCACAATCAAACTTCGTCTTAAAATAGTATCTTAAAATGGATATATTTTAATTTATGGATATGGATGGATATATTTATGGATATATTCTAATAAATATATAATAAATGTTTTAATCGACTTGAAAAAAAAAATATCTTGATCAATAACTGATCAAGACTTTTGGCCGCTTTCAATGATTCTGTTTGTGTCAGATTGCTTAGGGGTGGTCTCATATGAATTTGGCTAAGATCTGATCCCTCCATGAGAAAATCAACAAAATAATTAATATGTAAAGGCATTTGGCCGGCAAGACGAGAAATATAACAAAACAGTTTTTAGTTTATTTTAGTTATCTCAATTTTAGTTGTAGTATTATTTGGAGTCGCTTTTTAAAATTACTTTTCTATTTGTCTATAATAGAACGTAGGGCGTTTGGGTCATCAATTAATGGTTATGAACTTCCCATTAAATTGCATTTGTACTAGTTCTGTGACCCCGCTACGCTTCAGCGGAATAGACGGCGTCGAATATTTATTAACACGTCTATTTGAAAATTACAGCCGGCTTTGGTTCCGGTACTGAAAATTTTCTCAGGCGATTCAAATATATGCCAAAGACTTCATCGAACCATTTGTGATTCGATAGACTATCAATAGAAAATAAAATGTATTAGCTACTCCAAAGAGGGCGATTTTGCAGTAGTACTATTTTCTTTAGCTTAAGACCATATTAGAGCCTAAGAGGCTCGTATACCATTTACACATTTAGTAATTGTTTACATAAATAGTGGAATCGTTCTTCCCAGACACTCCGTTTTTTTGTAATAATCTATGGTAAAAATCTTAATTTTTGCGATCAGTATAAATGTTTAATTTAAAGAGCACATCTGTGGTTATTGCATTTATTTTAACATTAAATTTAATACATTTTCGATAATAGTTTCCCTCAGATAGTGATTGGATAATTTTCATATTCTGGCCTTTTAATAATTTTGTTGAATCTCTAAGGAAATACCCAAAGACCCATTAAATTAAGTTAATATAAAGATAGTTTTGGATAATAATTTAAATTTTTATTTGGGTGGTTTTGTTATAATCGAAAATATTGTTTTTCAATATATATCCATATGAGGATGCGGCTTTAAATTGTAATTTAAATTCTTAACTTGTTCATTTTTGTTCGACCTAAACGTAGCCTAAAATTTTTAATATTTTTCTATCTTTAAATTAACACGTTTCCCCGTTATTTCAATTACATAAAGTAACTACTAGCACACGACAGTGTATTAGTTACTACTAGAAATTCATATAAGCTTTACAGAGCTTTATGAACAAATCAGATAATTTTAGTCTTTTGCGTAATGGTGGGATGAAATGAAATTTAGATTGTAATGCAAAATATGAATTAAGTGTGATCGACTAAGCAAAAATACTAGTATTGATGTTAATGATATTTCTTTTTCTCTATGCTTAAGATTATTTTCATTGTTAAATAAAACTAATTTTAATTTAATTTCCAAGGTTTCGAACCCTTTACAGAGCCTACTGCCCCGGCATAAATTAAGGTATTAACTTGAACGTGAACGTGAACGCGTAAACTGATGCATGCATTTTAAAACAATTATTCTGATTGTAATTAAATTTACCGATAGAGACAATTCTTTATGAAAAGATTGACATAAAACTTAGTACAGCTCTAACCTGTATGGCGACCAGTTATTTATTAGAGTTCAAGCCATCTAAAACTGAATCAAGGGTTTGAGCCCATTCTTTTAGATAAAAGCTTTCATTCCTGCATTTTTTTAATATGACATAGTCATTAAATTTTTATACAAGCTTTTAGTCCCAGCGGTTGTCATTATTCACATTTCTCTTTAAGGAAGCGAGAACAATACGCACACGTAAATCCGATTTTGTGTTAAATTTATCACTCTGCTCCTTGCCGGTAGGCATTTGGAGATGATAAATATTTATGTGTCTATGTTGACATAGTAAATTACAGTATTCAACAGAATAGTATGCTAAGTATATTTTGTTCCTTCTGAAGCCAACTTACTATGTGAATAATGGTGCAATAACCCGAGCAAGGCTGCTGTTAGCAAACTAAGCGCATAGCTGGAGAAAAAGCTAAGTAGATTTGGCGGAGACTTATCACCATGCTGATGACGAGGTACGATTTCCAATTCTTTTTTAAATCCTTTTAAAGTCATCACCATGCTGGTGACGCGGTACAAATTGCAATTCTTTTTTAAATCCTTTTAAAGTCCGTTACTTAATTACCATTGAAATGTTAGATGACAATCAATAATAAAATGCAATATAAGGCGACACCAGAATCATGCATTTGCCCAGTTCATTATGTTATTTCATTTGCGGTTTAAAGTCTTAAAAGATGTATTAAATAGATTTCTAGTCACTAGGTGAAGTTCCTGAACTCTATCAAAGATGTTTTTTAGGCACAACTGTAATTTGTGTAACTTAAAATTTTTAATCAATTCCTGAATTTGAACGTATTTCAGTTTAAAATTCATGTCCCATGCATAATCGATATATCCATTCTCATTCTTGACGGAGATGTCTCAGTTATAACATTGTTTCTCGAAGGATTACAAAAGCACTCATAGACTATATACTCGCAGTATGATCCCCACGTGGTGTTGAAGTTAAATAACTTGCTAATACAATGAAACTTCTTATCAAATTGAGATAAGCACTAGGGTAGGCAACAACAGCTCTCATGATAGCTTCTTAAGCATGAATAGAGCAGCTCGACCGGTGGTTATTACGGCCTTGCAAAAGACCGGTGTAAAGTAAAGCTATTTCTGTTTTTCGTGTCATCCGGCTAGTAAAGCGACTGGAGATCTGTGCTCTAAGTAATCTTTGGAAGCTTAATCTAATAGCAAGAGTGAGCTCTTGCTATTAGATTAACCTTGTTTATTGCCATAATATCGATTATAATACATACATACTAGTTGGCGCGGTTACTAAGCTATTTTGTTGTCGTGGGTTCGATTCCCACACTGGACAAGTATTCGCGTGAACCACAGATTATTAATAAGGGCGTTTATTCCCAAGGAGGGTGGATGTCAGGTAGGCGGCCAGTCGTGAAAATTCTAGCCAATAGCATTAACGACATCATTCAAACCAGTTGACCCCAACTAAGCAGGGTAAGGGCGAGAGAACGGCGAAATCAGAAAAGATACAGCATCTTATTGTTTTGTTATTGTTTTATGCTTTCATTCTGGTGACTATACAAAGCTTTGTCGCAGGAATCATTCAAACAGGACTCGGTAAATCGATTTTCCACGAGTTTTGTCATACAGATTCGGAGTCATGGCAATGTCATCCACCTTCGGAGGGATCGTGCGAAACGTCTTATTGATAATATTATTTGGGAAACGCACTCGTGGATAATAAATGCTGACAGGCGTGAATATTGATTAACGAAAGACAGTGGCAATCATTGCACTGTCTCGGAACGTTGGCGCGAATCGCCGAACGTGTCTTCAGGTCGA